TCTATTGAGCTGCTGACAAGAGCTGATCCATTTATTGTTTTAGAAACACCGAGACATTTACTGTAATCTACAGCATTTGGATCCCAAGGATATAAGCCACAAGTTTTGAATCCACTTTTTATTGCAGAACTATTTGAAGAAAATCTACTGACAGCCTTTTCCAGAATAGAAGCCATTTTATCTAAAGTTAGATTAACTGTGAGGTTATTTTGTCTCCACTTTAAAACACAACTTTTCCACGAACTTTTCAAAGGTTTAAATTCTTCAACATCAGTCGCGTTGAGATTGGGTACAAGTAAATGATGATTATTTCTAACTTAGAACAGAGTTTACTCACTTCCATAGTGAGATGGCTGCTGTGTTTATCAAGAAATAGTATCACAGGAAATGTTATTTTTTCTTTGATAAGATAGGGAAAACGTGTTGAATCTTCCAATAGATGCAAATATCCTTCTTGTGATAAGTACTCATAAATTTCGTTAAACCATTTTCGTATATCACTCTCGCCAACCATGCACTAGCACTGCAGTCACGCCTTCAGGAAATCTTTCAGTAAGAATAGGATGTCTTCTCAAAAAAATTTTGTACCAGCCATCGTCTGGAATATTATCCTTGAGAGGTGTATTTAATTCGGTTTGGTTTTGAAAAAATTCTTGATACTAGCCTGTAAATTTTCCTTTCTTCTAGGAAATCCTTTTCGACTGCATTCAATACTGCCGTGCTGATGAAGAAAGTCGGTAATCGACATTTTTATCGAAAATGAGTTTTTTATATCACTGGATTCGTTATGAAAAAAGGAATCTAGCTGTAGTAATATTTTTTATTAATGTTAATTAATTAGTGTTTAATTACAGTGATTTCGCGAAATCATTTTGACAGAGTCCGTACTTGCAAGCAAAAATAGTGAGTAAGTGCTATTACTGCTCGAAAATGATGACGTATTTACGAACTTTACTGGAAGCAGAGTCCGCAAGGGCAAGTACTGCCAGTAAATGTGGTCTGACTTGACTAGAAATACTGATGCCATGGGCCGTAAGAGCAAGTACGGACTCTTTGCCTCAAGTATTTCTGGCGATAAAGGACTAACTTTCCTGATGGAAAAAGTCCGTACTTGCATTTCTACAAATAACATTACATTAACTTAAGTAATTTAATTATTTATTATTAATCTAAAATAAATAAACATTTAAATGAAAATACTAATTTTAATTAATTTAATAATAATAATTTTTAATTAATTTAATTTAAATAATATTTTAATAACAATAATTAAACAATAATATTATTATTAATATTATTTTTTTTTTTTTTTTTTTTTTGCTTAGGGACTATTGGGAAAATCTGTATACAGATACCTTGGCTTCCGCATGCCAAGGTTATGTGGGGTTGGTAAAAAAAAAGGAGAACAATAAACAAAATAAGCTGGCGAACTACTACCAGCCCCGACCCACTAAAACCCGTCAACCCTTCTTGGGAGCCCTTTGATCCACCCTCGGTACCGTCGTGAAGACTTTTGCCTTCGAGGGTGGCGCTCCAACTCTGTCGCAAAAGCGACTTCGTCCATTCCTGCGGACTTCCTGCGTTATCAATTTTAAAACAAAATCAATGTCAAGCGGAATCAACAGCACACCAGAAAAGAAAACAATAAAAAGTCAATAAATAAAATAAAAGTAAATAAAACAAAAGTCAAAAATAAAATTGTAAAAAGACAAATGAACAAACAAAATATAACATAAAACTGTAAAAAGACTAAAATAAATAAATAAATAAACATAAAATTGTAAAAAGACAATAAAAGACAAAATAAATAAATAAATGAACAGAAAATTGTAAAAAGACAATAAAAGGACAAAATAAATAATAAAATGAACAAATAAATAAAAATAAAAACTGCATACTGTCAATTTCGCCTATCTGCGGCCATCGAGATCCTTTCTCATCATAACAGAGATGATAAAGGTCTCGATGAGCCGCCAGTTTTCCTGGGACTGGATCATCAGCGCTACCATGTTCTCCGGTGTAACTGTAGTGTTTACACCGGTGAACATGGCCTGCCTCTCCAAGTCCCATTGACTGCAGGCAAAGAGGGTGTGCTCTGCGTTGTCCACAGGGAACTGGCAGTAAGCACACGCCTCACTCTCTTTCTTCTTAAAGCGCTGCAGGTACGAATTGAAACATCCGTGACCTGTCAGCGCTTGTGTCAAATAGTAGGAGACCTCTCCATGGCTCCTACTTAACCAAGTGGCGAGTGTCGGTATAAGGCGATAAGTCCATCGACCTTTTACCTCCCCGTCCCATCTTCGTTGCCATTTTTCGACGAGCCTGTGCCTCGCTTCGAAGCGGATGCGGTCCTTGCTGGGTCGATCTTCCTCTTCAGAGGAATTCGCCTCTTTGAGAAGGAGGATAATTTCCTCCCTCTCAAGCGCCAAAAGATCTGCTGGCGGGACACTTGCAAGGACCTGCACAGCGCTCGTAGATACTGTCCGATAAGCAGAGGCAATACGTGAAGTAATGCATCTCTGCGCGGACAGCATCTTTTTACAGATGGTTGAACATCTGTTTGTTCTCAGGGAGGGGGCCCACGCTGGCGCTGCGTAAAGCAGCTTAGCGTGGGCGACACTCGCCACCAGTCTCCTTTTCTTCTCACGGGGGCCTCCAACATTTGGCATCACCCGTGCTAAATTAGCCGCACATTCGATCGCCTTGTTTGACGCCGTAGCCATGTGGTGATGGAAGTTTAACCTTCCATCCAATTCCACACCAAGGTACTTTATCTGTCTCCTCCACTTGACCTCGAATTCGTCTATCACGATTCGTGGGGATTTATAACCACGTCTGTCTGTGACCAGCAATGCTTCGGTCTTTTCCAGGGCCATTTGAAGACCTCTGGTTTCCAGCCAGCATTTTGCTAGCCGCAGACATTCGTTCACCAATGTCCCCAGAGCTTCCGCCGAGTCGGCAGTGCACACGATCAACGCGTCGTCCGCAAAGCCGACGATCACCGCACCTTCGGGCAGGTCCATTCTCAGGAAGTCATCATAAGATACATTCCATAAAAATGGTCCTACCCTCGAGCCTTGAGGGGCCATTATTAAAATAAAAAATCAACATCATTTAAAATAATTTAATAAATTCAACAAAATGACTGATAATAATATATTTGTTTATAATTAAATATTATATTTTAGTGACAATTGAATTTTATTTTGTCTAATATTTTCTGAATTTCTTTCAGTTCAATAAATTAATAATAATTAAGAAATTAAAGAAAAACTATTATTAATTTATTTGTAAATTATTATTTATTACACTTCTGTACTTTTTTAAATAAGAACAAACAAAAATTGTAAAAAATATAAAAGCCTAATACTTTTTTCCATAGTCACAAGATAGAATATACGTAATAGGCTGCAAGTACGGACTCTATGGTCGTGACGTCATCGAGCCGTAGGAGCACTTACGGACTCTGTGGCAGTATTTTCAGGATTTCAAAATTAATTTTTGGCAGTAATCGACATTTTGTTTATAAAAAATGAAAATTTTGACATTTTTTTTGCGCCATTAAATAGAGCATGCCAAAATTAGTTAAGTACCGTTGTAATTATTTTAATAACTTTTATATATTAATTATGCTAGTTAAAAACGCGTTTCTTTAAATATCTCGAAAACACTCTAAATGCAAGTACGGACTTTCTTCATCAGCACGGCAGAATAATCCACGTAATGTAGATCTTGGGATATTGTAATTTACGGAAGCAGCATGGAATGACATTCCTTTACGAATTGCATCTGTGGATTTTTCTACATTTTTCTCAGAATAAGTTTTTATAAATGAAATACCTTTTTTGCTGAAACAAATTTTTCTCTATATAGAAACATGTTATATATGAGATCCTGATCGATTGCCCGGATGTATGTATGTATGTGTGGATCCTTTTTTGTTTAGACGATAACTTTAACAGGTTTTAATGAATTTAGATAAAATTTGGTGGACTCATTTATCATATTAATATCTCAAAACTGACCAAAGGATTTTTTAACTTCCATTAATTCTTTACATTTAACACAAATGTATAGGTACTCAAATGCTTATATTATTATTGTAATGATAGTTAGAAATCGGCCGGTAAATATTTGTACTAAATATTATCGCGCGTAGATAAACATGTTACCGACCGCGAAGCACAAAGACGTAGTACCAGATTTCGCCGCGCGGGCTATATAAGCTGCGCTCTCGCTGAGGACCGTCACTCTCGTGCTACACGGAGTCCGGATGGGTCTTACACACTTAACTAGGAGTTTTACTCCGAAAATCTTTGTAGAGAGTATTACTCTTGTTCGTCGGGTTTTACCCGTCGAACAATATATCGGTTTTATGTGTAAATAGTGTATTGTAACGAATTGTAAAGTAATGCATCGAGATGTAAAGTAACGTAATGTATAGTAAAGAAATATTGTAAAGTAACGTATCAAGATGTAAAGTAACGTAACAAATGTATAGTAAAGAAATATTGTATTTGAATGCTCACATTACAGGAAAAATTAAGCAAAATTGGAATTTTTCCAACGGCCTTCACACTTTAAACCCCTCAAATTTTAGGATTCACATTATTTTCAAATTTATGCGTAGATTATGTTCTATGTTTATGTCTATGAATATGTCTATGTTTTCAAACTAGGCCTTCAAACTTTAAACCCTTCAAATTTTAGGTTTAAGGGTATGGAACCCTCGGTTTTAATGCGAGTGTAACTCGCACTTGTCCGATTTTTATATATTAAATTGTTTGAAATTTTATTGAAACGGGTTTTATCATTGGAAATTTCAATTATGCGTCATATAAAATTCGCAACGATAATTAACAAAGGTTAGTTTCAAACTAATCGAAAATATTTGTCTTCACACTACAGAGTAAATAATTGTCGAAAGTTTGTTCACGTTATTGTGTGATTAATTTTGTTTATTTTATGACATATGAAGCTATTACATTGCATTTTCAACAATGGCCCAAGTTGGATCGGGCAATGTCGACAATGACCGTAACATACACATTGTTTTGGATAATGGAAAAAATTAAAATCCCTGTGAATATTTTTTCGTCTTTTTTAATTTTAACAGCAAGTCCACAATGTCAATTTTTTCAACAACTTCTCTCGTAAAATACTGAATGGATTAAGCTGAAATTTTTTAAATAAGTCTAAAATTGTCTCAATTGTCTAAAAAGTCTATAATTGTAAATCGAGATTTATGAATGATTTGTCTAAATATTTAAATACTGTCGATTAAATTGCAGCCTTGCACTATTAATTTTTACTTCTTTTTGTTCTTTACTATTATCATTTTTATGTATTATAACGGGTATTTTGTAAACACGTGTATAATTAAATAAATAAATAAAAAATATATATAAAGAAAGACCAGTGAGATGTGAAATATTTTTGAAAATAATTAGAAGTTATTAGAAAATCCAAAAAGTGACTTCACTTCCAACCTCATATTTTCTAAAAATTTATAAATGTTTTATAATAATTATTTCAATAAATATTAACAGTTTTGCTTCTCACTGCCCTTCTTTATTATATATTACACTTCTCTACAAAATTCTGGACCTAACAATCACTTGCTACTAAGAAATTAAAAATAGACTAATTTTAAATTAATCTAATCAATTTTTCAACTATTCGGACATACTGAATGCTTGATTTTGAATTTCATGACGTTTTGTCCCATTTAAAAATTAAAAATTATTGCATATTGATCTGGTTATATATTCAATTTTTATAAAGTAACTAAATAGAAAAAAATTTCATTTTCAGGATGGAAAAGCAGTTAAATAAGTTATTTGGATTTTTGATTTTTATGCAATTTTTTATTTCCATACTTAATTTGTGTACATCTTGTTTTTATATAACAAAATTGCAGTATGATAATACATTTTTCTTATCCACAATTTGTATGTCAATTTCATTTCTTTTTCAAATTTTTTTATATTGTTGGTTTGGCGAGTCGATGTCTCGAAGGGTTTGTAAAATTTCTAGCTTAATTCGCTGAGTTAGTGAAAATAAAGGACATGTCGAAAATAATTTTTTTGCAACACTAACCTCTAAAGTTAAATTTTACACACCGAAAATTGTGTGTAAAGAAGCTCTTTTTCAAACGGTGTGTAAAGTGATTCACTTTACGCACTGAAATTTACTTTACGCACTGAAATATTACTTTACACACTGAAATTTACTTTACGCACCGAAATTTCTCTCACATAATTTAAGGATTGTTTTAGACCAAACAAAACCACAAAATTAAACAACGAACTTTACTATTAAATTTATAAACTCCTGCTTAATGATATGTTTCCTGATCTTCGATTGATTTTTTCAATTCTATACAATCGAAATTATTCTAATAGAGAGTTGTAATTCTTCATAATAGGTACTTAACTTTAGAGGTGGGTGTTGAAAAAAAATATATATAATATATATATTTATATCCTAAAATTCTATTTTAAAAAATTTATTTTCCGCGAGTTCTATTTTTGAAAAAAATTGCGTCATGACCTTTTTTCCCACTAACTCATCGAATTCATTTGAAAGTTGATATAAAATCACGCATTCTCATTCTCTGTATTTAAATTGAGTATTAGGATTTGTTCTTATTTTATGAAAATTGGAATTTTTTTTATATCACCAGTCAGAATTTATTTTACATTTAACGTGACAATTCAAAATAAATTTTTGAATATAATGTAAATTAAAAAAAAAATTACTGATTTCAAAAATTGACAATAATTCCTTTTATGACATAAGAAAATCTAAATTTTGCAAATAAATATTACTCCAATAAGGATTTACATTTTTTGTAGAGTTTGGCTGTTGCTGATATAATATACCAAATGGATTGGAACGTATTGAGTAAACAGACTAAACAAACACTATTAATAATAATGATGCGAGCTAGTCATCCAATAAAACTCACCGGATCATCTTTAATTATAGTGTCAATTGAAACTTTTTTAAAGGTATTTTTAAAATTTTAGTTATTAAAATTTCTTTTAAAATATAAAAACAAAAACTTATGAAAGTTATAATTTTTAAAATACGTAATTTTTCAATAAAATATCCCATTTTAATTATATTAATGACGAATTTATATTTTATATTTAGATTTTAAAAGTTTCTTATTCTGCTTTTAATTTGATAAGGAATGTAAGTTAATTGATCTGATAATGGCTGTAAAAGGAAAATATCCAAATAATTATTTGGCTGTGCTTAATTAACACTAAAATATCATATTTTTGAATGTTCTTAAACATTTCTTAACTGTACTTAATTGTTTTAACTCCACATAACTTTTATTATACTTAAGAACAAGTGAACCCTATGGTGTCTGTTGAGCGACTGACTATATATACTTTTATAGGAAATTTAATCCATTACATAAGTCATACTGAATAGAGCATGTCAGTCGCTTTAATCAATATATATATTATTTCCAACTCACTAGAACAAATCACTTATTATTCATCTTCTGTAATTGTTTCTTATGTATTATGTGATATTGACAAGATTAAAATCAAAAGTTCTCCGTAAGATATTATTTTTGCACGACATTATATTCCTTCTCTACAACATAAAAAAATGCTAAAAACAGAACAGAAGCACATTAGCCTATACCTCTCAAACGAATAGTTAAAATAAACAAAAATGACTAAATAAATTTTATTATTTTGTCATACGAAAATATAATTCATTTGCAATCCTATGATTAATTAACTTTAGAGATTAATAATAAAATAGAAATAAAACATAAAATTTTGGATTTAAATTCCGATTCAAAATAAATTAAAAAATTACTTATATTAATGGTTGCTGAATTTTCATTTAAAATATTAACATACTTAGGTGTTTGGAGACCACAATCACTTACATCAAAATGGTCCATTCGTATTTACAATATTTGTACATTTATTATGTTGTCTTTTGAACAATATTTTGCACTTACTTTGATAATTTATCTTTTTCAAAATATTCATAATACAGAAATTGTTTTACAAAGTATATTTACTTTTTCTTCAATATTTATGATAGCTTTTAAAGTAACATATATCAATGTATACCGAGAGGAAGTGATTTCCTTTATAAACATGTTTATGAATAAAAAGTGTTTACCTCGAAATAAGGATGAAGTTAAAATTTATAAAACACTTCACGAGAAAGAAAGGTAAAATTTAAGTTAAATAATTATTTTAATTTATTTAATTAATATATTACAATATAAAAATTTATAATCTAAAAAGCCCCGTTTTTTTATTATTACAAACGTTAATATGTAAATCTGAATAAAACGACACTATAAAATCCGCTATAAGTAAAAAGATCTCACTTGGAAAGGTTCCCCTGAAAGTGCCCCCTGGAGGTTCTATCAGAATTCCGCCGGAACTTCCAACGTAATTTCGTCGGAGTTCCAAAGAATTCCCGATGGGATTCCGACAGAATTACGTTGGAAGTTCCGGCGGAATTCTGATAGAACCTCCAGGGGGCACTTTCCGGGGAATCTTTCCAAGTGGAAGATGTATTGAAAAACTGTATAAGTTTAAATAAAAATATCTAAGTTGCTTATGGAAGAAATATACATTTATTAATTTCTTCTTAAAATTTTACTTTAAAATAATTAAATTTGTTAATAATTTTAATAAATAAATATTAATTTTTAATAATTTGCAGATTACATTCACGAATTTTTGTGTTTTCGCTTTTTTTTGCGGCCTTTTGTTATACGTTACAACCACTAACATCGAAAATAGTAAATTCATTACCAATTATGGGTTACCTTCCTTTTGCTATTAATTCAAGAAGGCGATTTTGGATAGCCTATTTTTATCAATGCATTTCAGGTTATTTGTCAGTTATTTTATTTGCTTCAATAGAAATGCTTCCAATCAATATAATGCAACAAATTTGTATTCAATTGGAATTTCTAATGAATCGACTTCTTGCAATTCCAAATTTAAGGAACACCAAATATTCACGTTTAAATATTTATAAAGAGGAGTACAATCTTTTAAAGGAGTGTATAAATCATCACGAATTTATTTTTTCGTAAGTTCAAGGTAAAAAAAAGTATTTAAATTTGGAAAGAGAATAATAAATTTGCCTACTTTAAACAGAATAAACAAGTAGATGGTCCTGAAGCAAAAAATTTGCTTCCTTGTTTTAATGCAAGGAATACAATTATTTTATGTATAAACTTGAATTTAAATAAATACAAAATTTTTTAGCTGAAATTTGAATTTTTGTTGTTTCAAAAGAAGACAATTAAGTGCAGAAAAATTATATCAAAGACAAAGTAAGTTGTCTAAAATTGTTCATTAAGATGTTACATGAAAATATGGAACGTAATTTAGTGTTTTTATCACGCGTTTATTTTGTGTGTGATGTGACGCTAAACGATGCGTGATTCAGGGTTGAGTCACCCAAAATTTTGCAATTATGAAGCATTCTTCTAATGAAAATTCATTTGAACCGCTCACTGATGTGTTTATATGGTACCATCTCGCGAGGGCGCATCCGAGCCGTCCCGAGGTGGATCCGCAGGGATGGAAATGGGAAATTTGAGTGTGTAGGAAGCATAAAGTGTAGAGCGAGTCCGAGCTGTAGGCCTGAGACAGACGTAAAACAAGTATATCGCCTTAGCGACTAAATATGACCCTTAAATTGACTAATAATTCCCACATAGCACCGAAGATTTAATAAATATTAATTAAATATTTATTTTCAATGTTCGCAGTATTTAGAATAAAGGTTAAGTAAAGCTTATGTAAATATTTAAATGTCCGCACTTGAGCAAATATTTAGTGCGAACCTTGAGTGAAGCTTGAAATTAAATATTCGTTAAAGGTTCGGCTCGAAACTTGAGTGAAGCTTTAAATTAAATTATATCTTTAATTTGAATCAGTTTAATAAATAAATTGATTTAAGAAATTTTAGTTTTCAAAAATGAAAAAAAAATAATTTCTTAAATTTAGGGACTCATACTTGATTAAGCAATTTTTTAGAGACTTTAAATAACGAAATGGCCGAAGTTCTATCTGCCAGTGATCTGTCACACTCCGGCGACCACCAAGTTGGTTTAATCGGAGAGCGGCTTCTAGAGGCACTTGGCAGATAGGCCTCAGCCTGTTTTAGGTTGCAAATAATGGACTCGATGAAGGAGTCGTATCGCTCCCTAATATTAGGATTTCTAATGGGCGGAAGAGAATCAATGAAATGATCCGAGAGGATGGAGAAGTAGGACCAGTCCACCTTGTCTAATTTAAGCCTATGTGAGCTATTGCAGGCGGACTGAATATCTAGATCAATAGTAAGTGAAACAAGAAAATGATCACTGCCAAAATGGTCAGGAAGGTTTTCAGAGAACGAGAAGCCCGTCATGACAGGGAACAAGAGAATAAGATCAAGAACACTTTCCGCTCCGTTAGCTGGAGATCTATAGGTGGGAATATCCTCGTTCATAACAATTAGATTTCTTGCTTCAATAAATTCCATTAGAGATTTTTCTCTTGGGTTGAGCCGATAAGGAGGGAAAATGGCAAGTGGGCATTAAAATCCTTAAAAAAACAGGTTACCATCTACCGGGACAAGAGAAATAAGTTCGATCCAGTGCTCTGCAGAAAGTTTCGCTGAGGAAGATATGTAGACAGAGATAAAAAAGAGCGGACCTCTACTAGTATTTATTCTAATACCCACTGCCTCCATCACATCAGCCCATGAGCCCTGGAAATCCAACATTTTCACGAGAATATCCCTCTTGACCAGGATCATCGTACCTTCTCCCCATTTCCGTGACGGAGTGGGCGATCGCATCTAAAGGAACGAAATCCCTTAACATCCCATCTTTGTTTGTGGCCCGAAAGCCAAGATTCTGTAATCGATAAAATGTCCATATTTAGGTCAAACAAAAGAGTTTCTATATTAATTTGCTTATTCTGAACACTGCGAACGTTCGCAGGGGTATTATTAGCTTCGAGGACCGCACCCACGATCTCTGTGGTATCCCTTATGTTACTCCAAGACGTCAAAGGCTCATTGACATCATCTGTCTGATACTCTTCCTCAATTGACTCATCCAGGAAGTGCATCGTCGTATCGCTGTCCAAATCTGATCGAATCGTACTATTTTTGATGAGAGAGGGATGTTCACTAGGTGAAAGAAAAATGTCCGGATTGTGAGCAGAATCACTAAGTTTAAATACGGAATTTATAGGTTGAACAAATGAGAAGTGGGGATCTAATGATTGATTGATAGTATTAGATGGTGTAAGTGTATGAAGTGTTGAAACAGTGAGAATGGATGAACCTGTAGCTGAAAGTAATTTTTTTTAAGTACATAAGCTTCATCACCTCGAACTCATTTCTATAAACTGTGCAGGTGCTGGAAAAAGCCTTGTGATTGCCTTCTGCAATGCACGCAGAAGTCCGACGAAGCTGGCTTCGTACAACCCTCTGACTGATGTAGTTCGCCACAATGTTCGCAAGTGGATGTAGTTGCTTTACATTGTGAGGAAACATGGCCACATCTTTGACAATTATAACATAGTTTTGGGATGGGAATAGAGGGAGTAACAAACGTGTGAGAACTCCAAGAATATATAAAACGCAGAACCGTGGTCGATCTAAGGACCAGATCAATTATGTCAAGCAGACTTTTATCAGCCCTGGAGCGTCTTCTTTTTGCGGATACGATGATACTAAGGGTTTCTGCATCCAGATTTACGATGATATCTGTTACCGAAAGTTGTAAACTCGCCCTGATAAAACCTTTTTTATATGCCACTGAATCTGGAATAATAGTTTTATATCAAGAAGACATAAGAAAGTGAGAAGAGAGAATCGCATTGACGTCCATCAAATTAACGCAGAATATCTTTATTTGATTACTCCCCGTAACATGAATACGTCATTCGCCTCTAGCGACCTCTGCTATTAGTTTGCCTATCGCAAGAGGTCCATATTTACCGAGATTTTGGTTAGGGGTTGTGGATTCCATCAAGACAAGGTAAAGGACCATCAGTATCTTCACTGTGCTGGGTAAACATATAAGAGACATCTGCAGCCCAGTACAGATCAGGGTTATTGAGATCCTCATCTAGTTTTTTAGTATTCCGTTTGGTAGGCCTGTTGCCAGTTTCGAATCTGTAAGATGCGCGCTCTTCGAGTTGACCAGATGTGGGGATATCATTCCTACTTCTTTTCCTGACATCTCCACTATTAGGCTTGCTCGGTGAAGTGTGATTAGGGGAGAGGGACAAATTACGTTTGCTTGAGTTATCAATTTCGTTGATGTTGCTCTCCAAGCGAGCGAGCCTGATATTCGGATGATCGGACAAAGGTGCAAGTGTCGAAATCAAAGACTGAGACGCAGAAGCCGAGTTTAATGATTCGGACGAACCTATCCTAGAAGAGTTGCGTCCGTCGAGTAAAGGTCTGAATTTCTCCAATACTAACTAAGCTTTGGCGCGGGATAGGTCCGGCCCGGGATTACTTGGGGAAGACATGTAAAAATTGAAACCTAAAATTGGGATAAATTAAAATAGAGGAAAAAAAGAAGTTGCAAGTGCGAAATTATCGCAAGTCTACGGGCTAACCAGTCCCAAAAATTGGGTATAAGGGGAAAATCATTTAGCAGAAAGTGTAAAACATGGAAAAAGATTTGTTCTTTGATGTTTCTCTTTTAATTATTTGCCCATTTATTTATTTAACTAATTATTCAATAGTCAACAATGTATACTATGTAAGTCTCAAAACAGTGATAGGCCCCAAACTTGCATCCGGATAGAATTTAATTCTATCCCATTTGCCAGTTATTTATTATTAAATAATCAGTAATGAATTTATAAATTATTACATCCGTAAGTTTAATTATTTAAACAAATGATCAATTAGTTCAACTTTAGTAGGATCCGAAAGAAACAAATCAATCAGTGAACAAGATGCATCTTACTGTGATCTCTCATTGAATGTAAAAATTGAATGGTAAATCGAGAGAGTGAAGGATGGACCCAGTATCGATCATACAACAGAAAAAACAGGCTTATAGATAGTATAGTGCTTAACAGCTACGCTGAGTCGAGACTGGGACCAACAGGTATTCAAACTCTTTCAACTTAAATTAGAAAACCATTTTTATTCAATTAAAATGATTTATTTTAAATATTAGTTTAAAAATTGAATTTCCAATAATAATACAGTTTTAACTTTAAATTATATAAGACCGAGAAATCAAAAAAAAATTTTTTAAAACTAAAGCTCTCGACATCCAATCATATACCTGTACTGCCATATAATATAATAAAATAAAAATAAAAAGCAAAAAAAACACCAACCTTAAGGCATTTAAATAATTGCAAAAGTGTAAATTTAAAATAAAGCGTAAATTAAGCCCCTGGTAAATGCGAAAGAAAGGTGAAGTTATACGGAAACGGGAGAAAGCAAGAAGACAAACATACCGTGCGCTTAGCTGTTCGTAAAAGTAGGTGAATATGACGTCAGAACTTTGATGGTAAGAAGACTAGAACCAGGAGAAACAACTACGTTCAAAGCGTACAATGATGAAAGGAACATAAGGTGTGGGATACGGTAGGAGTAACTTAACTTGGGTTAGAGTGCGAATGACGAATTTGGGTGTTTTGCGCATACTAACACAAACAAACCACGTGCTGCATATAACGTATTTACATTGCATATGTGTTAGTATGCGCAGAATACTCAAATTCGTCTTTCGCAATTTAACCCAACTAAGAAGACCGTCCCACCGTTAACCAAGCTATTGGTTCCCTCCCCACTATTATAGTTCGTTCTCCTGGTTCTACTCTTCTTGGTTGATGGCCTGACGATGTACTGGAACCACTTTGTTTAACCCATGTAATTGAGTATCCGTGAATATAGGTAAAGGTGACGTTTGAAATTCAGTAACCTTTTGATGTGCCTGGACCACTTCCTTTAAGTTTAGCAACCTATTTTGGGTTAAAGATAGGATTGAGATGCAACAGAGACCACACTTATTTAGATTGTCGTATACAAGACCCGATTTAATATACAAGACGTGTAGAAAATCAGGGATAAAAAAACACTAAATGCACAGATTCGAAACACGCACTAGTTGTTGAAGACATAACTTGAAAAATGAGATCCCAAAACTTTTTCGCTACTTCGCGTTGGGTTATTTTTTAAATTCGTATTTTTACTAAAAAATAGTTTTGAGACATTGTGCACCTATTACAATAAACATTTTTATGCACAGACTTACTTGACATAAAAAACCAGGAAGTGGTCCACTTATGACTACATTCCCCTATTGATATTAAAGTAATAACGCTTAATCCAAGCTCGATCTACTGGCGATAAGATATTTAACCACATATCATAGGGAGGAAGTATATTGTATACTGAACAAGAATTTTGTTGTGAAACAAATTTAAATGATTCTGGGTCAATCAAACTTTTAGAATCATTATAAGTTAAATCACGATCCCGTGAATATCTTTCGTAAGTAGCAAGAATCAATTCTTCACTGAGAATGAACTATTGAGGAGACATCGCTCTAAAGATCCAAAGACAGCAACGTTCAAAAAGAAATATTCTTTAATTGATTCACCCAATTAAGCCTGGGTGTCGATTATGTAATTTGATTTGATTCTGACGTCAAAATCAAATTCATTCTGATGTCAAAGTTTTAATTTGATTTTAACTTCAAATTTAAATTTATTTCGTCGTCACAGTCAAATTTAATTCAAGAATTTCATTTGTTGATTTGATTGTGATGTAAAATTCAAATTTATTTTTTGATTTGATTTTGGCGTCAAAATAAATTTGAATTTGAGGTCAAAATTGATACCAGTCACAAGGGGTAAAAGGCTCAAAGGAGGGAAAAACGTAAACAAATTATCAAAATTACGTTTGTGGACGCGCGAAAGAGTTTGTTTTGTATTAGAGTATAAGAGAGTGACGTCACGTGAAGTGCTCTCTCTCTGTCGGAGAGAGTGAAACGAGAGCGTGTGAGATGACGTCACCTGGTGGTTCCGGCATCCGTACCATAACCGACTCGCTGAGAGTGACTCCCGGTATCGGTGGGCCGTAAACGCTTTGCGGCTCTTTACGTAACGTAAACGCTCGATAAGAGTGACTCCCCGTATCAGATAGGTGGGCCAGAGACCCTACACGTAACGTAAACGTCCGTAGAGAGAGACTCCCCGTACGATTTACATTAGTGAGAGTGTAAAAAAGGGTTGGAGCCTGAAAATAGAAATTGATTAGTACGCCTACGGTAGTAGGGTGAAAAAAAGTAGGAAAGTTCAGTTGAAAGAACCTTTATTTGAAAGTACGCAAGACACCTACACGCCGCTAGGCGGCAAATCTCTGCTGGGTGGTGCTCTAACACATAGACCTTATATACCCTCAGCAAGTCATCTCGACTGCGAGTGAAATAATACCTACATATTTACTACAGAACAGCGCTCGTAGCGATAAACAATAAGAACTAAATTGAAAACTTATAAGTAATACACACACATATATATACTAGGGGGCTACGCCCCCTGCGCGCTTCGCGCGTTGACCCCCATTCTCTAAAATTTTCGAGACAAATTCTGAACGGTAGGTGAATTGCATGGTAGGCGAGTACAGCGAATTCCAGCGTAGTGTCGAAATTACCCCCTCCCCTACTTTCCCCCACCCTAAATTTAGAGGTTAAGATCGTTTCAAGACTCTGAATATAGCCGCAAGTCCCCCCTCCCTTCTCTTCTCTTCTTCTTTTTCAAAATGAACCATCTATTTCAAAAAATTATATTATATTATAATGTATAATAATTTTTAATATGTTATTGGTATTTAGCCAATTTCATTGAATTTATTTTATTTAAATAATTTTTGATAATTTCTAATTTTAATAAATTTACTGATTAAAATTTTAATTTTAATAATATTTATCTAGATTTCAATGAATTTGTTTCCAAGATACAATACGGGGAAGTAACTAATTTCGTATCTTAGAACCTAAATAAAAAATGATTAGTTTTGTTTATGTAAAGATTATATAAAAAAAGATAACTTAGTTTTTATTGCCTAAAAACCAATAAATTATTAAAAAGTCTTGAAACGAACATAACCTTTAAATTCAAGTCATTTTTGGCGGGAACTCTACCTCCACTTGCGGCTTGAAATTTATTTATTCTTGGAAGTTACATAACCTCAAAATATATGTCATTTTTGGCGGGAAATACGGAGAGAGATTAGGGAAGGGGGAAGGACTTACTGCTTTATTCAGAGTCTTAAAACAAACATAACCTCAAAATGTAGGTCTTTTTTGGCGGAGGAGAGGAGAGGGGGGGACTCCCCACCTAGGTCGAAATTTCTGAAACAGCGGCGGCTGCGGCAAAATCTTTTTATAATATAAAAAGATAGATATACATATATAGATATATACACACACAAATATTATAAATAAATTATAAATTATTATAACAATAATATTTATAATTAACAATCAATAAAATTACAATTATTATAATAACAACAATTATAATTATTAATTAGTTAATAACAAAGGGCCTGACATGTAGAGAGTGGAAGAGAAAAGCGGGAAATAGGAGAGAGGCGCGGCGGTAGAGTTTAGTTGGGAAAGGGTAGCAGACCCGTTAACAATGACTCAGCCAAGGACAATAAATTCATGAAGAATGAGCAATTTTGACTATCTTCATGAATTCTAGTCACCCCTATCAGTGACATGTATCAATATCAAATCAAAAAATGGATTTTTCCGATTAAATTTGACGTCAGAATCAAATCAAATTACATAATCGACACCCTGTTAGAAAGATTGCGCTTACTCAAAAATACTAATGTTTCTAAACAGAACTCCACAATGTGAAGTATTTAAAAATTCTATGCGCAAGATGTAAGCTACTTGTCTTCAATCTCATAATATAGTATGTGGAAATCTGTGAAAAAAGTCAACTTCACTTAATTTTATGGTAAATTAAAGAAAAACTTTATATAGAGTTAAGATTACTGTTTTTGTAGCGTATCATTGTTGTAATCAACAGAAATCTACTTTTACTTGTGAAAAGGCAAACTTCATTTTTTAAGATAGAGACTTCGTCCTACCAATGTTTGAATGTCATATAAGTCACTTCAATGCTCATTCTGCATCGATGTAATGTTGATATATTAACTAATAACTGATTCAGAGACTATCATGGCAAGTTCTTTATAGAAAAAACATAGTCTTATTTTTGTTGCATCTCAAGATGAGCCAATGCTAAACGTCATAGACAGTGATGCCACCAACCTGGCTCATTTGTGTTGCACTTCAAAATAAGTAGTGTACGCTATTCATTTTGAGAGTAGGTTTTTTCTGATTATATATATAGGAACCTTTACAAAAAGATTCTATGGTACAACCCACACAGGATCATGTGGTCCTTTACAAGAATTTTCAACAAGGACGTCAACGATGCAAAATTAGTTATAGGAGTAAGACATCCAAAGAAAGATCTCCTGATTGAAATTAGAAGCAAATCCAATTAGAAGATTTTCACAATGGAGATCACGTACCAAGATGTTCGAAAACATAGGTTAGAGTTAGATAGAAAGAAGGGCATCACTATTCGGATTTTTTAATATGTATATCTAGTTATTTTAACAAATGCTTCGCACCTCACTGGTCTTTCTTATCATATTTTAGACTTCTCTACAAAATTCCAGCTCAATTCATTCATTATTTTACGAGAAAAGTGGTCGAAAAAATTAACATCGCATATTGTGAATAAGAAAAATGAATGCAGTGGTAATTAGGAAGAAATTAGATGATAGGGTAAAGGAAATCGGTTTTTAAAAAATGATAACTGATTTGAAATGGGAAATGAGGAACCTCGTTTTAATATTTTCCTATGTCAATTCCTGTCTCAATTTTCCATGGGGATTAATATAAGAAACCATATGATTTCCGATATAGGAGTGGGGTTTTACATAGTTTTTGACATAGGATCCCATGTGGTGATTAAACTTAATAAAGTTGAGAAAATTTCCAAACTGTTTTGGACTACATAAAAAACAAATAGAGAAAAAATTTATTTAATTTGCAGATTGGAGAAACAGTTAAACAGAATTTTTGGTGTTTTGATCTCCATGCAATTTTTTGTATCCATGTTAAATTTGTGCACATCTGGTTATTATATGACAAAAGTGAATGTGGATAATCCAAATTTTTGGTCAGCCCTAATCATTTTAACTAATTATATTTCTCACATTTTTCTTTATTGTATTTTTGGAGAAATCATGACTCGTAAGGTAAGTATGTAAATTAGTGTTTCATTAAAATTATTGGGAATTCATTTTGATTATTCAAAATACATATACATATATATTTATATTTCAGAGTTTGTATGTTGTTGATGTAATATACAAAATGGACTGGAACTTGCTGTCAATAGAAACAAAACAAACATTGTTAATACTAATGATACGAGCTAGTCGGCCAATGAAACTAACGGGATCGTCATTAATTATAATGTCTGTTGAAACATTTTTAAAGGTACTTGTCTAAAATTTCATACTTACAGTATTTATAATTTCATTCATTTTGTAGGTATATATGTTTATAATTTATATATACAGGATAGCAACCAATCTATTACAATGACTATTAATATTCTCTATGTATTTAGATTCTGAAAACTTCATATTCTGCTTATAATTTATTAAGAAATACAAATAAATAATATCACCACTTTGCACTGACATAAACAATTTATTGGAAAATTAATTAAACTCCGAATAATGAAGAAAATATAAAATATAATGCAACATGCAAGTAATAAAATATTCAATACGAAAAATAAAATCTTTGAATTTTAGTTATTAAGATATAGGTATTAATATTTTTAATTATAAAATAAAAACACTACATTAAAAAATTAATAAATATTTTTTTAATTGCAGGTTTTCAGCAAAAAAGAGTTTAAGGCAAATTTTTTTATTTCAATAAAATTTAGTATGTGTTTTAAAGATATTAATATTTCTAAAATTAAACACAAGAATTTCTAATTTTATTTTAAAAATTTTTTCAACAAAAACTATTATATCAAACAACTGAAACATGCAATTGTAGCAACAAATAAATAATATATAAACTAATATTACTAATAAATTTTATAAATTAAATGGTAAATATAATAATCCAGTTGATTGTATTTTGCTAATTAATTAATGATTTTTAAATAATTTTTTTATACTGGCACATTGACAAAGATTTTTATACTTACCCAATGACTAAAATTTTTATTTTGTTTAATTAGTTATTATAAAAAATTTGAAAATTTTTTGACTTGATTGTATTTAAGTATATATCACATCAAGTATGATTAATAGAGGAGGGGGTTCAAATTTTCAAAAATTTCTGTTACATATTTTTTGTACAACCTCTTAATATATCTACATTATTATTTTTCATTGTTGTATCAATTTTTAAAAAGTTTGTAAACCAAAAAAAATTATTTCTTTTATTTATAAACGTTTCCAACTTGAAACACATAAAAATTGTTTAAAAAAATAATTCCAAGCACTATTATCATTTTAAACACAAAATTCATTTAACAATTTCTTAGTTTTTTATAATAATTATTTCAACAAATTATCAACACTTTCGCACATCACATCCGGACGAGAAATTAATATTGTATACCTAACACGTGACCAAACGCAGTCACATGTCAGTATCGCATAACGTTAGCAAAATATTTTTTTTGGCACATTGATAAAGAATTTTATATTCACATTAATAGAGATTTTTATATTTATATTTACAAAAACAATTTTTTTTTATTATTTTTTACATTCACATAAAGTACATCATTCTATGAACAATTAAAAACAAAATTTTTTACTTACGAGAAAATGGATTTGGATAAAAGGTATTTGGGAAATTCGATCCTAATATAAATGAAAAATGGGTGAATACAAAAAACTTACTTGAGAGATAACAATATACCACCTTTTTATACAGAAGAAATTATTTTAAAGAAAAACTTGAAATAATCCTAAAAAAATTATTTCTAAATATTTTTTTTCTTTTTCTTATATATGTCATACATTTTTGTTTAATTAAATATTTCGAATTAAAAACGTTTCCTATATCTGTAAATAAAGTGTAAATGATGTTAACTCTGAGATGTCTGACGAGCGACTGACTATATTCTTTTATAGGAAATCCCCACTCTACTACATAAGTTATAGAAAATCGCGTTAATCAATATTAAGAGTGATTATAAATTCACAAGCTGAACAATTAGAATTATTCGTTTTCCATAAGTATAGATAATTATAGTTTGTAAATTGACGAGACAAATATAAAAAATTCTCTTTTAGCTATTATTTTTTCGCATGAAATTCAGACAATGCTAAAGACAGTAAAATATAGAATGTAGAGATAAACACATTTAAAACTGTTCTTAAATTTTATTTTTCAACTAAATATTGAAGTAAAGAACATTGATAATACACGGGAAAAAATAGTTCGCGAAACTTTCGTAAACCATTTATTCACTTTTGGACGGTCCCCATGTTTGAAAATCTTTCCTTAACTTTTTCCAAAATTCACAAATGTTCATCACTCCCTTTATGACAATCAATGTCTGCGTACGTGCACAAAAAAAAGTTTGTGGAATCTTGAAAAAAGCTAATGAAAGATTTCCAAACTTTGGGCCTGTCCAAAAGTGAACAACTAGTTTACGAAAGTTTCACGAACTATTTTTTTCCGTGTATAGAGTTTATTATTGAATAATTCTTAAAATAGTGAAAAATATATTTTTAAGAATTATTAAATTAAGAAATTAAAAAAAATTCTATGTAGCTGAATAAAATATATTTTCAAAGGTAGAATGGTTGCTGATTTTTCGTTTAAAATATTAACATACTTAGGAATATGGAAACCACAAACTTGGACATCAAAATGGTCTATTCGCGTTTATAATATTTGTACATTTTTTATCTTGGCTTTTGTACAAATCTATGCACTCTCTTTTATGATAGTTTTTATTCAAAATACTCACAGTACGGAAATTCTTTTACAAAACATGTTTCTTTGTACTTCAATATTTCTAATAGCTTTTAAAGTAACATACATCAATATATATCGAAAGGATATTATTACCTTTACAAACCTGTTTTTAAATGACAAGTGTTTACCTCGCAATAAAAAAGAAATTGAAATTAATAAAATAAGTATCAACAAAGTAAGGTAAAGTATAACTAAGACAGCACGTAAGTTTGCAGCAAGCTTGTATAAAGATTTCTGTGCAAGTTTATGCTATTGCAAGTCCCACCTATGGCAAGCTTGTAGTCTAAAATTGAGGCAATCTTATCGCCAAGTAGGTAAATCTACAGCTAATTTGCTTCAAGTTTTTTTGAAACTTGCAGCAAGTTGGCAGCAACATTGACGATTAAAATTGCCTAAAGCTTGCGCGGCAAACTTGCAGGGCATAATCTTGCCGCAAGCTTAAGTGTTGACTGGGAATTAATTGAATTGTTAATTAATAAGAGTTATATCCTTCTATAGTTTAGTTATTATTTATATAATATGTGATCTTGGGAAGGTAAAATTTTAAATAAAATTCGAAAGTGTCGTTGTAGAAGCGATGTTTCGTTGGCTAAAGTTTACCAACCTCACCAGGCTAAATATTTATTGAATATAGAAAATTACACTTCAAAGTATATAAAAGTCCAAGAAAACTATTTTCATGTGATTTAACAACAAATAACATACCTAAATTAGTTACAATATAGAACATATGCTAACACGTCAAGATAAATTAAACATTGTCAGAAGATACAAAAAATAATTTTTCCAATTTCATCATTTGTCTCTGATATTGTCATGGATGATCTGTAGTGGAATTACGAATGGCAACAGCGCTACGAAAATTTGGCTACGTAGCGATTTAAAGCTACATTCACTTAAAAAAATTTTTAGTTAATGGGTGACTCAAAAAAAATTGTATCAGTTTCACAGATTTAGGTTAGCACAATTGTTTCGCTGGTAAAATTCAAAGATAGAAATTATATTATGAATACTTTTTGAAGCGGAAAGTATGAAGTTAAAAATTATGGATTCAGGTTAAATTTATTCGTATAATCATAATGTTTAATCAAATGCTTCTTATCCTAATGAATGGAAGAATACCAGAGTGGTATGTCCGTAGTATGTAAACTTTTTGAACGCATGATCCTTAAAAAAGGAGGTCGCTCTACTAATAATTGCGTATCATTGTTCGTTATGGACATCCAACAGGGATTTCTGAGGAGGGAGCATACTTTGGCGCTTGCGGTTTACTTAAAAGGAGCGTTCAGCAATGTCCTTCCAAAGGCTATTTATGATAGGCTTCATAACTGCATGTTCCTTTTAGAATCACTAACTTTGTTTCCTTTATAGTTTCTTCCAAAAACTTGTTCTTTTCTCTTGATAGTGATGAATTTAAAGTATCGGGAGTGGAAGTTCCCCAAGGGGGTGTCTTATCTCCTTTACTCTTTAACTTAGCGGTGAGTAAAATCTTTACTGTGATACCACATCAAGTCAAATGGTTAATGTACGCTTACGACTTACTTTTATATGTTAGATCGAAGGACGTCTCGAAGGCTATTAGGATTTGGAGTGACATAATTGAAGCTTGGACCCCTTGGCTATTTAATATAGGTCTTTCTATTGCTCCTGGTAAATCTCAATTAACTGTTTTTTCGAAGTCTAATGATAAATTCTTGAATGCAGATATTATGATGAGAGAGGTTAGAATTGATCTTCAGGAGGATCTTATCTATCTAGGTATCCATCTGGATCGACGTCTGACTTGAAACAGGCATATTAAAGAAATTGCACTTAAAGCAACGAAAGCAATCAACATTTTAAGAACAATGGCTAAAATTTCATGGGGAGCTCACCCTCTCTCTATGCTCATAGTGTATAGGTGTATGATAAGATCACATTTAGAGTGGGGTTGTCAATTTTTTTCCTTAGCCAGTAAGACCAATTTGGCTATATTAGATAGGATTCAGTTTGCGGCATTAAGGGTTATCCTTGGCTGTATGAGATCTACTCCTACTAGTATTTTATTATCAGAAACTGACGAGCCTCCTTTATCTCTTAGAAGAGCATTTCTGAGTAGGAATCATTTGATTAGAAATTTTTCATGGTCTACTAATCCTCTTATACCTAAATTGAAAATATTGCGCGAGAGATCGGAAGCTTTGGCACGTAGAGGCGAAAAGAAACTTCTACTCAAATCTTCGTTGCTCAATTCACACAGAGACATCTCTGAGATTCTCAGTAAGTGTGGTCTCCGAAAGAAACCCTCTTCTTTCGACCTTACCTGGGACGAGCTCACTAAACCGCTCTTGATCGACTTGGATTCTGGTTGTGAACTTAGAGGTGCTATTGACTCGAACTCTGTGTTTGAGGAATTGTGTCATTTTATGTTTCGGGATTATGTTAGAATTTTTACGGATGGATCATACGATCCTGTCTATAACCGATCTGGCTCAAGTTTTGTCATTCCTCTTATTAACATTGAATTTGGAGTCAGACTCAGCGGTTTGATGTCTAGTGATTCCTGTGAGCATTACGCAATTTTATCCTTCTTAAAACAGGCTTCGAGAAGTAACTTTGACAATACCCTTATAGTAACAGATTCTCGTAGTTCTTTGTGTGACATTCGCGATTGCTTTAGTAGTCCGAATCCTCACCCTTTGATTGTTAAAATTATCAAAACCATAACTGATCTTACTAATAGGAGAGGTTGTGTGTGTTTTTTTATTGGATTCCAGCCCACACAGGCATCAAAGGAAATGAAAAAGCCGATAGATGTGCCAAAAACTCCCTGAACTATCCTTAAGGCAACTTTTTGGGGGCTCCTCCTGGGGATCTCTTCAAGATCGTTAAAAGAGATTATATTCAATGGCAGAGTTACCTCTGGCCTTTTTCCGATAATCGTTCCGTACGTAATCAGTATTTTAATAGGGTAAATTATAAGTCTGCACGGCCTTGATTTCAGAGCATCAATGGCCCTAGGAAATATATTAATATCATTAATAGATTGAGATCGTCACATATACGTACTGGCGAACATTTTGCTAGACTGGGATGGACGCTCTCATTGGGCTGTGAATGAGGTATTGAATTTAAAGATCTCCACCATCTTTTGAGCTTCTGCCCACGTCTCTCTCAAGGCAGGCCAGCTTATTTCCATTTTTAAATCAGAGACTTACTCACTTCCATCCTGATAATTTTGTTTTAGATGATTTAATATTTAATTCTGACTTAAATTCCACTAATGAAATTGGGAAGTTTTTCGCCCAAGTTAATGGTTCCATATAATAGTATATTTTAACTAACTTTTATTTAGTTTCAGTTCGACTATAACTTTCACAAATTTAATCATGTTAAATTAAAGTTAATAACCTAGAGGGAGGGTGGGAGTAAGGGAGAGAAAATAAGTAAATAAGATGTGAGAAGGAGAAGGAAGGGGGGGGATGTAAAATAAATGGATAAATAATAAAGGTAACGAGTGAAAATAAAAAGAAGAAATTAATAGAGGGGGGTACGAGGGAGAGCGGAAGAAAGAGGGAAAGATTTTTAGTAAAAATAGAAACATATGTAACTTTATACATAAATTGTTAAATTTTAAAGCAAATAAAATTACTCTTTAAATTTTTAATTTAGCTGTTAATTTTGATTTATTAGTAGTTAAGCAGTTTTTTCTTTTTTTAATAGTACAATTTGATCCCATAAAATTGAATTTCTCCTTTCAATTCAAATTTCTCGCGCAGTTCTCTATCCTCTCATACGGAAGTGCTGCAATACAGTAACTGCCTATAACGGCGCATGAGTTACTAACCTACTGGTCAACTTGATATTAAACAGCCAACATCTTTCCTGTTGAGCAACAACCTTGCTATATAACTATTCTGTTTGGATGAATCATCTCTACGCAACTACGTATATTTACAGAAATATTATTTAGTACTGGATATTTGTTTCTACAAGAGGACATTTAAACAAGAAGAAGAAGAAACTTCATATAACAACAAATCTTTTTACTATTAACAGAAAGGAAGACATTTTTACCTTAAACAAAACATTCTTTCCTTTACTTACAATTAGGCACATGGACTCGTGTCCATGAAAAAATAACAATGTTTAATTTATCTTGACGTGTTAGCATATGTTCTATGTTGTAACTAATTTAGGTATGTTATTTGTTGTTAAATCACATCAAAATAGTTTTCTTGGACTTCTATATACTTTGAAGTGTAATTTTCTATATTTAATAAATTTTTAGCCTGATGAGGTTGGCAAACCTTTGCCAACGAAACGTCGCTGCTATAAACACACACTTTTGAATTTTATTTAAAATTTTACATTCTTAAAATCATATATTATATGAACAATAATTGAATTGTTGTTATAATTTGAGAAATTTCGAATTTTTTTCGATCGCTTATACCAATATTTAATTTTACAACATATGACAAATATTTTTTGACTTTCAGAATTACTTTATAACAGTACCTATAAATATTTTCCAAAAACCTTGTATTCATTTGCGATTAATTTAAAAATTCTAAAATAAAAACTGATTTTAAAGAAATTGACAAAATTTTGACAGCTATCAAACGTTTTTTTTGGACATTAAATTCTTAATAAAAGATGAAAATTTAATTTATTTAATATTTATAACTATTAGTAATAAGCAATTTTCAGATTCAATTCTCGAACTCTTGTGATTTTCGCTTTTCTTACATCAACGTTATACTCATCATTGCCTCTAATGTCAACAGGACCTGTAATTTCGTTACCATATATCAATTGGATTCCTTTTACTATTAGAACGAGAAAACAATTTTGGTCAGTTTATTTTTTTGAATGTTTTTCAGCCATTTTAGCAACACTTTTGTTTGCTTCAATGGAAATCCTCCCCGTCAATATAATGCAAGAAATTTGTATTCAACTGGACTTTTTAATTAATCGGCTTCTTGAAATTCAAAAATTAAATCAGGGCAAATATTTGTCCTCAAATTTTTATCAAAGTGAATACAAGATTATAAAAGATTGTATACTTCATCATGAGTTTATATTTTCGTAAGTATTTATATAAAGTGGGAAGAAAATTAATTGCTTTAAATAATTCGCTACTTGGCTATTATCATATATAATAATAATAATTATTATTATATTATATATTATATTATATGGGGCATTTCTATGGGAAATTTTCAGTAAAAATTTTTTTTTGTCTGAAACATTTTTTTCGAAATCTATATGAAAAATAAGGAAATACGTATTTTTTTATTTTTTTATTTGATGAAAATGAAGGAAGTTATGATTTTTTGAAATTTAACGTCATCGAAGAAAGTGTGTTTTTGGAACATTTTTTAATCTATTGTACTAAGAAATTAAAAATTATGCTATATATGAAATTTGTTCATTTTTTCTGAAATTTTTCAAATATGTGCTCAAAAATAACGTACCTATAATAGAAGCAGCAAAAAAGTTGAAATTAAACTTATAAAGTGAGTTTTCTCAAAACAGACACTTTCGATTTGGGAATACAGATATTATCTTTTAATTTATAGTACAAAGTTTTTGCTAAAAAATTTGTAGGGCTATTTATTAATGAAACAATAGGACGAAATGGAATGTCTTTTTTATGAATTTTTGGGAGACCATAGAATCTTGATAAAACAGTAGCAGTTAACGTTAATGCATTGTTGTGATATTTGTATTTTAAAAATTCATTATCATTTAAATATTGTAGAATTTTACTAGTATTATTTTGAAGTTTTTTAAGTGGGTTGCTATTGAGAAGTTTATAAGAAGAAGTGTCGAAAAGTAATTTAGAAACACCGTTGAGATAAAAGGATTTGTAAAGACAAACTATACTATTACCCTTATCGCAGCTTGTAAACATTATTTCCGGGTTCTCTCTTAAAAAATTGTGGAGTTAAATTGGAGTTAAATTTTATATTATTGGAAACCTTGTTTCTAATCTCATCTTTAATGTTATTATTAATATTTAATTTACCAACAGTATCCTCAATATTTTTCATTATGTCTAAAACATCTGATTTGTCGGTTGTTTTTTTTATCGAAACATCGTTTTTTTAATTTTATGCAACATAGGTTATCAAAATTCAGATTTATATAAAATCTAAAATAAAGAGGAAAAAATAAAAATGAATTTTTTAAAATACAAGTTTTCAACTTGCACAATGGTAGGGGAGAGTCGGGTAAGTTATTAGACCAAAAAAAACGATAGAGTAAAAAAAATTACTTAATTTAATGTTTAAGTATAAAAACTTGTTTATAGTAAAAAGACAACATTTAAGAATAAGAAAATAAATTGAATTATTTATTAATAAAAACATTCAATAAATTATTATAATTGAAGTGTCAGTGAAAAATTAATGAATTCGTCTGAGGTGCGAGTAAGTTCGACTACTTACACGACAATAATAGTTTAAACATTTTAAAAAAAATTATTTTTTTACAACTTGTTTTTATATAATATTGAAAATATAGTTTTCATAAAATATTATGTTTCACAATTATAATAAAATTATTTATCCATATATCTGTAAATGATAAGTATAATCAATAACAAAATGATTATCATAAAACTTTATTGAAATCATTGTTACCACATAATACTTCATCCGTTAAAACAGTGCAATTTTATATTAATTTTTGATAAAATTATTAATAAATACGAACTTAACCGACTCTCCCCTATTATTGAGAATAAATTATAAATTTTGAATAATTTATTAAAACGAATTTTAAAGACAGTTTATCATTTATTTCCAAAATTATTTTAAGATTTATAATGAATATATATATATAAAACTCAACTTTCAGAATGGAAAAACAATTAAACAAGACTTTTGGTTTTATAGTCTCAATACAATTTTTTATATCTACAGTAAATTTGTGCTCGTCTGGATATTACATGACAAAAGTGAACGTTGATAATCCAAGTTTTTGGACAGCCTTAGTAATTTTAAGTACATTCACTTTGCAGATTTTTTTGTATTGTTATGTTGGAGAAGCTATGACTCAAAAGGTATATCAAATTTATAATAATTTTTTTAATGATAAAAAACATTTTGCACATTTTAAATAAAAAACAACATATGTACATCTGTTATGTTATAGAGTATGTCTGTTACTGATGTAATATATAACATAGACTGGAGTTTATTGGATAAGAAAACAAAACAATCATTATTAATAATAATGATGCGAGCAAGTCAACCAATAAAACTATGTGGATCATCATTAATTATAATGTCAATTGAAACTTTTTTAAAGGTATCAATTTAAATTTTTTTATATTCATTAATTCATCCATTCTTCATAAGTATGCTATCAACTTTATGAGTTAATTCAGAAAAAAATTAAATGATTACTTACCTGTAAGAGAAATTCGGACAAAAATGCTAAATTCAATTTGGCAGGTCCAAACAAATTTTAGCAATTAAGAGCATGTGATAGTTGTGATTCCACATGTAAAACTTTCCCGTAGGTTTTCTCCCAAAGTATTTGACAGAATGAGATAAAATTTTATGGGGAACTCAAAAAAAGTATAAGAATTTGTTGTTATATGACAGGGTATATTAATATTTTGTTAAAAATAAATTTATTCTTAAAAAATTACATATATATTTGCAGAAATGACAAAAATCTTATTTAAATAAATTTCAGGAAATTTCTGGATAAAAATTTTGATTTATTATCATGAAAAACAAATCAAACGTTTCGACACCAACGTTGGTGTTCTCTTCAGTGATTAAAACAAAGATAACTGTTGAAACAAAATTTTCAAATGATAACCTCAAAAATTTTAAAACTAAAATACATAAAAATTAAACAGAAACTACTTATTATACCCAGATAGCATGGAAACTTGCTGCAAGCTTGTCTGAGCTAGCGAAATGTCCCACTCAGGGCAATCTTGCCCTGAAAGCTTGCTGTAGGCTTTCCAGAAAAGGTTGCTGCAATCTTGCCATGAAATATTGCTGCAAGCATACTAAGAATGATTGCGGCAAGCTTGCCGTGAAGGATTGCTGTAAGCTTGCTATGTAAGGTTGCAGGAGAATTTCAACAAGCTTCTGGAAAGTTTGCTGCAATTTTTAAAAAATACATTTTAAATTAAAAAAAAATTTATTTGTTTTCTAAATTTGAAAATCTTTGTGACGTTTATTATTATTAATTATGTCCTGTTTATTTTCATTTGGAAAGTTAACGAGAAAATTTTCGAAACAAATTTAAGGGGACTGGGAATTGAACCCGGGTTCGACAGACACTAACCACGGCAAGCTTGCCCTGGGTGGGACATTTCGCTAGCTCAGACAAGCTTGCAGCAAACTTGAGCGGCAAGCTAGACAAGCTTGCACGGTAAGCTTGCCGCAAGCTTGCTGCAAGTTTCCGTGCTATCTGGGTATTTATAAATTTTGATAATGAAAAATAGCAAAAAAAAACATGTTCCCACTAAGGGAACATGTTAAAATAATTAACTACATGATTGTAAGTTTTTCTGACAAATATATTAATGAAAGATTAAATAAAATTAATTGCTTTGTAAAGAATAATAATATACAGATCCAAAATAAAGAATTTAATAACAATAATACAATAGTAATTTCCCATTATGATCAATTGTCTCAACAAATAGAATCAATAATTAAAAAATATAATTTACATACAATTTTTAGAATACCTTTTATATCAGAAATATTTTTTAACATTGGCAAAGATAAATTAACGAATTTGGAAAAGAAAAATGTTGTTTATAAATTAAAATGTAATAATTATGATGCGATTTATGTGGGAGAAACTGAAAGGCTTTTAAATGTTAGAGTAAATGAACATAAGTCTAATTTTATAAGATGTGAATATTATCATAATGAATTGTCAAAGCACAAAAAAGAGAATAATAACCATAATTAATGAAAATTAATGGAAATGTTGTTTATAAAAAAAGATAGAAACTGTGCTGTCAACTTAACCTTCGCCGGACTGGATACTTTTTATATACACGGTTGACATGATCCCACCCAGGGTGGGCCAAATGTTTTCTTCTTTGTATATTGCAATAAAAACTTAGAATCATTCAGTTTTTTTCCAAAATTGTTATTTGTTACCAAATAATATATTTTATTAAAGTTTTGTTGATTTTTTATTTGTTTAAACAATTTATTATTAATAATTTATAACTTTTTCAAATATACATACGACAGTAGAAGAATTTTAAAAATTTGTTACCTTTTCTTCGTAGTTATTAATTCAAAGGTTATAAATAAAATAAAATATATAATTCAATTTGCAACAACTATTATTATAAATTGTTTAAACAAATAATTGTTGCTATTTATTAACATTCTTCATAATATTCCTAGAAAATTGCAATTTTTTTCTAATTTTGCAACTTAACAAACACAACATAATAACACAAAGATTTTATATGAATTTACTATTTAACCAATTGTTTAAACAAATAATTGTTGCTATTTATTAACTTTCTTTATAATGTTCCAAGAAAGTTGCAATTTTTTTCTAATTTTGCAACTTAACAAGCTCAACATAATAAACATGAAGATTTTATATGAATTTAGTATTCAAACGATTGTTTAAACAATTTATTGTTGTTATTTATTAACTTTCTTGTAGTGTACCTAGAAAGATGCAGTTTTTTTCCTAATTTTGCAATTTATCAAACCGAATATAATATAGCCAGACAGATTTGACATAAATTTACTAATTTAACAATTGTTTAAACAATTGTTGAATTTACAATTTTACATCAAATCTATCTTTTATTATATTCGGCTTGATGAGTTGCAAAATTAGAAAAAAACGGCAACTTTCCAGGTGCCATACAAAAAAAGTTAATAAATAACAACAATAAATTGTTTAAACAATTGTTGAATTAATAATTTTACATCAAATCTATCTTTTATTATATTCGGCTTGATAAATTGCAAAATTAGAAAAAAACTGCATCTTTCTAGGTGCAGAACAAAGAAAGTTAATAAATAATAACAATAAATTGTTTAAACAAATGAAAAATGCAATATAATATTTTTTATATCTATTATTTGACATCATAAAACACTCACAGTGAAAAGTCTGCATGATTTCAAGTCTTTTTGTAAAATAGAATTAAAAAAATATCTGAATCATCCCGGTTATCTCCGTACATACATTGATAAAAGTTATAAATAATCAAGAAGAAATTTTTTTTAAAAATTTGTTTTTACATTTTTTGAAAGTTCTTAAGATTTTGTTCAGTGACTTAAAATCGCGATTCAATTAAGGCAAAACTTTAGAAGATATGTCAATTTCAATTTGTCTGGCCCACCCTGGGTGGGCATCTTGTCAAGCGAAGGTTAAAGACTGACATTTTCAATTTAAATAAAAAACTTGAATGTTAAGTCGAATTTCTTTAGTGAAAATGCAATCTACAAGTAACATTTTTCTAAATTTGTGAAAACTAATTGTTTATTAATATAATAATTTTTAATTGTAATTTTTTTAGGCCTTTTATGTGTATCTCGTACGTGAGAAAAATTTTTTTCGATTGCTCTGTATTTTAAATGTTCGCGGTCTTCGTAAAAACGTAATTTACATGTAAACCAATATTAGACTTAAGAATTATGAATAAGGTTTGCTATTACCATAGTCTGTCTTACCTTCTATATACGTTTTGAAGCAAAATTTTTTAAATTAAAGACAATTATGTAGTTAATTATTTTATATTTATTTTGATATTTTTCATTATCAAAATTTATAAATATAGTAAGTAGTTTCTTTTTAATTTTTATGTATTTTAGTTTAAAAATTTTTGAGGTTATCATTTGAAAATTTTGTTTCAACAGTTATATTTGTTTTAATCACTGAAGAGGACACCAACGTTGGTGTCGAAACGTTTGATTTGTTTTTCATGATAATAAATCAAAATTTTTATCCAGAAATTTCCTGAAATTTATTTAAATATTATCATATCTGGATGACAACTTAAACTGAAAAATCTTATTGCCCTCATATTTAATTTTCTTCAGATATGCAATTTTTTAAAACTAAATTTATTTTTAACAAAATATTAATACATAACAACGTTTCTTTATAATAATTTTTTGAATTCTCTATAAAACTTTAACTTTATGTATTATGCGAAAAAATAGACGGAGGCATTGAAAGTGTGGTATCCCAACAGTCACATGACCCTAAAACTTTAAAGTTGATAATAACTGAAAATTTTTCTACTATCAAAAAAAGTAGATATTTTTTTCAAATTGATTTTTTTTTAATTTCCACGTTTGAAAGAAATAAAATTACTTTTTTATTTTTGGTTATAAAAAACTGAAAATCTATCAATGACAATATTCTATATATAGATTTTAAAAACTTCTTATTCTGCTTATAATATAATGAGGAAATCAAATTAAAATGTCATCATCCATTTTAGTCGTATAATGGAAAATTTATCAAAATAATGAAAACAAAATTAAAAACGAAATTATGAAATGTAATGTAAAATTAGATATATACAAAAAAACTGTGTGTACAAATTGTCATATTTATATTGATAAAATAAAGGTATGGATGTGAAAAAATGAGAATAATTTGAAATGGTACTACTTTAATAGTCAAAAATTTAATTATAAAATTATTATAAATTATTTTAAAAATTATAAATTAATAAATATTAAAAATAAAATAATATTAAGAATTGAATTTAAAATTAGAGAAATAAAATTTCTGAAATAATAAAAAAAGAGAAGATATTCATAGGTAACACCATGAGAAAGTAAACAGGAAAAATAATACACTAAGAAAACTGGAGGTTCAAAAGTGTATGTTTTCCTTTATTATTAAAGAGAGTTTAATAGTCTTTATAGTATGATTTTTGAATAGATAAAAGAAATCTCTTTTTATATTCTGTTTTATTATATTTAGAGGGTTAAATTTTGGGATTAGGTTGACATATTTATTCGTTCCGCGTACGTTAAGGTATCACATCGGTAAAACCGTTTTCTATAAATTTTCTTGAAAATTTTACCATATGTTCTTATTATCATTCTTGACAAATTTGCAAAATATGAAGAATTTTCGCCGTACGAAACCAGAGATATTAGCAATCAAAGTTGCTTATTTTGCATGGGAGACGGGACTAATGTATGGGGGAGAAGTACATTTTCATAAATATCATCAGAAGTTTTCTATAAATTTTTTTCAAAAACTAATGTTGAATTCAGGAATAAATTTGGAACTAAAATATACAAAGAAATTTATAATTTACCGTACCGTTTATTCGTAATTATAAATTAAAAATTCTATTTCATGACGTCATTTGCAATATATAGCACACCCGCCACTTTGATGTGGCAACATCGCAGGATGGTAACATTAGTTAGAGAGAGACAGTAGTCCACAGTAGTCAAAGCGAGACTTATAGCGACGTTGTCAAACCTCCTACTCCTTCCAATCGCTGCTAGTGTGGGGTATACGTGTACGAGTGTATTTGTAGAAGTACGTACAGTATGGGCTGAGAGTATAGGGAGTTGAGGGCGAAAGTATAGTGCGGGAAGTAGTAATGCGAGCTACAAACTTTTGACTCCGATTAGTGCCGATGTGATACCTTAAGGAAGGGATTTCTCAAGATTAATAATTTGTCCCTCTGCCATAAACTCATTTTCCCTCCAAGCGAAATGTCTTAAATATCTGTGAATTGTGTATTTCAATATTTAGATTGTTTTCCAATAGCTAACTCTCAAATATAAACTCTTTATCCCTCCTAATGTTCACTTCAAATCTCCAGTTTTCTCAGTGTAGAAAGAGAAGAAAGATATAAAATTCAAAAAAGAAGAATTATTGAATTTAAATTTAAAGATTTTATAATAGAATAAAAAATTATTCGGAATTAAGATCGATTATGAAGATACCTTCTGTTCAAAGTAGATTTTTGAAGCTTGATTTGCAGTTTCTTTATAAGGTCCTTAATGGTGAAGTAGATTGTCCGACATTACTGTCCGGAATCTCGCTGTCAGTTCCATACATCTCGTTGAGAAATAGATCTTCTTTTAAAGTACCCTTTTATCGGACAAAACTTGGTAACAACTCACCTCTCACACGCCGTGAAGCAAATCATGCTCAAAGTATCGATTTCTTCAACAATTCAAAAAGCAGATTTTTGCAAGAGCTCTCGGATAACATAAGTCAAATGAATTAAATGTAATGATCACGCTCGTGTATTGTAATTTCTCTTTAGATAATAATGTCTTTTTTTATCTTTATAAGGGGTATAATTTTGTAAACCCGTGTATAACTTAGAAAAAAAAATTTATATAAATTATTACTAAATTAATAAATTATAATTTTACATCTTTAAAATATTTACAAAATAAAATAATGAAAATTATTTTATTTAATTGCTAAAAATAATAATAATATATAATAATATAACAATGGCATTGTACTCGGCGAGCGTTAGAAACGGAATTAGAGAGAGAAGAATCGCTCTGTCCTTAGTAATATAATTTAAATGTAATTACAACCGAAAAATAGACGCCGCAAAAAGTCTAACACGGAGGAATAGTAAGGAGACCGATCTCTGCGTATGAAAAAGTCAGGAAAACATGTACGATAAGTGCCAGGTTCAGTGCATTGTACTCAACTGGACAAAGTAGTTGAGCATGCGCATTGGACCTCAATTTTGACAAATGAAAAATGTGGTTATGCGATATACATATATAGTGTCACAAAAAAAATCTTATTGTTCAGTGTTTATTTCAGAAATTTTATTTACCATTGCGATATTGTATCTCCAAAATCATGTGTAAGTATATAATAATGTATGCTATTGGAATATTTAAAGTGTCAATAAATTGAAGTAATTATTAAAAGAATAATGGAGCCATAGTAATTACAAACATAATATTTATTATGTATGTCATGAAAAAGATTTTTCTTACCAAGAAATTATTAGTTTTCAATTTAATTGTCAAATATTAGACAATAAAATAACAATAACACATAACCCCTTCATCACAACACGCATGGAAGACGAGAAATATACGTCAGCCAGTAGGGATGGTAAAATCGAAATCGATTATAAGCAAAAATCGAATAGTAGGTGTCGATTAATCGAATAATAGAAATCGATTAGTAAGATATACTAATCGACAGTAGTCGAATACTCTATTCGATTAATCGGCAAAAAAGCGTGGCAAGTTTTGGAAACACATTTTGGCTCACAACATGAGCGGTTAATCGTCCCTGCCACAATCAGATTCTACAACGACCGTCAAATGTCTATTAACGACTTTAATGGTTAAACCGGTTAAACTAAGAAGACAAGTGAATGATAACAAAGCTTTTACCCATGTTTTACCACAGTGGTGTTTGCCAAAATTTTTAGGAATCATGATACATGCACTTTATTATTAAAATTGGTTAGTAGAAACAAGAAATTATGAAAAAAAATCAGTTAATTTTTTTCAGATTTTTTTTCTTTTTCGAATATTAACTAAATAATTTTATACTTTTCAGATTTATTATAAAAAATTATTAAATGTTAATAATTTAATTTTATAATTGTTTGTTAAAATAAATGCTTTCTTAATGATAAATTATGAATTTATTTATTGAAAATTTTTTCGTTAACGCAATTTTTTACCTATTTATGGATTTAAAAAAATCGAATAAAGTCGAATATATTCGAATTTTAGTGTCGATTAATCGACTTCTTTTTACTGTTCTAGAAGATTCGATCGATTAATCGATATTCGATTACTTCATTTCGATTCCCATCCCTATCAGCCAGATTTCACTCGCACACTTTTTGCGAGAGAAAGAGAGAGCACATAGCTAATGCGCATGCTCAGCTACTTTGGTGGTTGAGTAGAATGCAGTGAAACTGACACTTATCGTGCATGTTTTCCTGACATTTTCAAAAGCGCTACTACAGCAAGATCGGTCTCCTTACTATTCCTCCGTGGATTGCACGTTTCTGTCTCTTTATTTTGAACAGTATTACACTGGTAAGAGCTTTTTTGATATTATCAATATAAAAAATTTTTTAGTATAATAAATCTCTACAGATTCAAGTATTTTGAACTTGGAATTCCTGATTGTCAGGAGCTTTCTAACGACTTCTATCAACACGATCAGATTTTCTGGGCAAAAAAGATAAAAAAAATATTAAATCGTAAAAAAATAATTTAAAAATTACTTTTATTTTGTAAAAGCCAATTGTCAGGAGCTTTCTAATGATTTCTACCAACACGATTGGTTTTTCAAAATTAGTAATAAAAATTACTTGTTGAGGAAAATCGATTGTCAGGAGCCTTCTGACGATATCTACCAACACGATTAATTTTCCAAAGCAGTAATAAAGAATTATTTAACAAAATATACCTACAAAAAAACAAACATATATCTTCAAAGTCAAGCTACGGAAAATCAATGGTCAGGAGCTTTCTAACGATTTCTGCCAATACTATTAATTTTTCAAGAGTGGTAACAAAGATAGTAATTCTTGTTTACTATTCTTGTATGCCATGTGCATATAATAATAATCAATAACATATAATAAATCAATAAGAATTTCATTCATAAATTTCTACTATATTTTGCCAATTTTATCTGATGATATAGTTCTCACGCGTATCATTATATTGAATAATCGAAATTAAGAATATAATGTCCCTTTAAAATTGGACAATAGCCATTATTCCTTTTGTTAGGAAATTGATAGTATGTGGGTGATAATTACCTAATCATTTATGTTTATAGTCATTCAACCACGTGTTTAAACTCATTTGCTTATCAGAACCGATGTGTCATAAGAATTTAATAAAGTAGAAGTATAGAAATATAATATACAAGAGAAATTCCCGGACTGAGAGCTTATGAATGATTCATGTTACACAAAGAAAAATAAATAAGTCAGAATCGCCTCAAAATGGGGAAAAAATATAGAAATTTTTTTATTGAAACTCACATCGAGGATTTAAACATAAAGAATGAAAAAACTTACTTGAGAACCCATAATATACCAATTTTTTGTTTTTATAAAAATCAGTCAAATCTGTTTTTCCTTTAAATAAAATTAATGTTAATACTTGTAGCTGTAAAAAAATTGTTTCTTAAAATTACATGTTTCAATTTCCTGTATATGCTTAATATGTGTTTGAATTGTTGCGATTCATAAATTTATTTTCTCTGAGATACACTTTTATTTTAATTTCACAAATATTTTCTTATATCTGAAAACAAAGTGAGAATGATGTTCACTGTTTGCTGCCTGACGAACGACTGACTATATATTACTTTTATGGGAAAATAAATCGAATCCTGCTCCTCTATGTAAGTCATATGGTGAATATATTGTGTCTGTCGCGTTAATCAATAAGAATGATTATAAATGCATAAACACGACAATTATTTTCTTTCCTTAACTGATGTTCATTATATATTCTACATGTTGACGAGTGACTATAATATCAAAAATTCTTTTTAAGCAATTATTTTCGCAAGAAATTTAGACAACACTAAAGACAGTAACATGCACGATGTAAAGATAAACACATACTATAATCTTAAATTTTATTTCTCAAATACTTTTTATCAAAATTGTTGTCCATAAGATTTAAGACTTCAATTAGAATTTTTTTTTAAAAATAATAATTAAGACAATTTTAATGGAAAAGAAAGATAAATAATTATTATATAGATTTAGATAGTAATTAATTAATGTATAATGGTTGCTGAATTATCATTCACAATTTTTTCATACTTAGGAGTTTGGAGACCAGAAACTTGGACATCAAAGTGGTCGATTCGTGTTTATAATATTTATAATTTCTTTATTTTAACTTTCGAGTATTATTATGCCTTCACTTTTTTAATAAGTCTTTTTCAAAATATACACATTGCGGGAGTTCGCTTACAAAATTTATTTTTCTTTTCTTCAATATTTTTATTAGCTTTTAAAGTCACTTACGTTGGTGTATATCGAGAAGAAATTATTTTCTTTAAAAATATGTTTCTCGAGAAAAAGTGTTTACCTCGTAATAAAGAGGAGAGGAAAATTGTTAAGACACTTATCGATAAAGAAAGGTTATTATTTTATATATATGTGACGCTCAACGAGAAAAGGGACCTATCGCGACAAAAAATTAATTTCCAGTTTTATATGCGAATCGATAGTATTTGAGTTGCTCTTTCATAAAAAAATGTCAAAAATAATATTTTTCTAATTACTTTTCTTGTAATTCATAATTCCATAAATAGGTAAAAAATTGCGTTAACGAAAAAATTTTCAATAAATAAATTCATAATTTATCATTAAGAAAGCATTTATTTCAACAAACAATTATAAAATTAAATTATTAACATTTAATAATTTTTTATAATAAATCTGAAAAGTATAAAATTATTTAGTTAATATTCGAAAAAGAAAAAACAACTGAAAAAAATTAACTGATTTTTTTTCATAATTTCTTGTTTCTACTAACCAATTTTAATAATAAAGTGCTTGTATCATGATTCCGATAACCTATTATTTTTAAATTTAAATTTTATTAGTGTATATTTTTCTCGAAAGTTTTTATATGTATTTAAGAATATACTTACCTAAAAATTTTGACAAACACCACTGCGGTAAAACATGGGTAAAAGCTTTGTTATCATTCACTTGTTTTCTTAGTTTAACCGGTTTAACCATTAAAGTCGTTAATAGACATTTGACGGTCGTTGTAGAATCTGATTGTGGCAGGGACGATTAACCGCTCATGTTGTGAGACAAAATGTGTTTCCAAAACTTGCCACGCTTTTTTGCCGATTAATCGAATAGAGTATTCGACTACTGTCGATTAGTATATCTTACTAATCGATTTCGATTTTACCATCCCTACTTTAAACATGACCATGTCAATTGCGTTTCAGCACGGTCTACGGAAACAATCCCCACCAACACTACTACTAGTATACTTGGTGTATCCGTGAGACGTAGGAACGATGTAGTAGTAAGATAGTGGGACTGATTTTCGCTGGTGCGACTCAGCCAATCAAAACGTTTAACTTTAAACGTCTTTCCTGTATAATTCTGTTTTGTCGCTATATGTCCCTTTTCTCGTGGAGCGTCACATATATATATATATATATATATATATATATATATAAGAAAAAAATATATATATATGGCTCTCATTTCATTTAAATTGTCATATTCAGCTTCCAAAAAAGTTGAGTTGGTAAATTTTGATTTTAAGGTTGAAACTAATTTTTTATACAGTTTAACATATTAAATTAACAAAATAAATAGTGGTTACAAAATTAAAGTCACTGAATCCGAATTTGAAATCAGATTTTAAATATTCAAAATGGCGGACCCAAAATGGCGTCAATGAAAATTTAAAAGTTGATTTGATTCGCTTGAAACTCATTACTTAGGGGTTTTTTGGGTCGCTAATTACGAATATGACGTTAGATTTTAAAAATTTAAAATGGTGGATCCAATATGGCGACTCAATATGGAGGATAATTTCAAGACTGATGCAATTCGATAGACATTTGTTTCTTGGCGGTTTTCGGGGTCGCTGAATTCGAATTTGATGACAGATTAATCCAAAAATCTTAAATACCATGAAATCAAATTTATTTGGAAGCTCTGTTTGAAACCTTATTAGGCATATAAGTGATTTTTAACTGGACTGCGAAGGGGTTAAAAATTATATAGGTAAAATGCAAAATTTATGTCCTTAAACATTATAAACTTAAAACAAATAAAGATCTATTCATTTCGCCGAAAAAAATTTTTTTGGGGAGGGGGTACATTTTATTGAAAAAAATAAAGGGTTGCGTGTATGGGTCATGTAGTACACGATTTAAGCTTTAATTAAGACATTTTTAAAGTTTTTTCCACGTCAGGTTAAAGAGAAAAATTATATCAAACACCCATAAAAACACGTAATTTGGGGGTTTTTACTCCCATTTTTTTTCAAAATCCTTACATGCTAGGCAATTTTAAGACCCAGGAGCGTGTTCAGCGCCCAATAATACATTAGAAACCATTCTGATATCAAGATAAAAGAAAAAACTTTTATTTTGTAAGCCTCTGTGATTTATTACGTTTACTGAAGCCATATATACAAATTTGCATTACACTTATGACCATTACACTGTTGACATTTTTCTCGTTTTTTGCTTATAAAATGAAAACGGTTATACTTATATCGACGAGGTTGGTCTTATTCAAAAGAGAGAATATGACAATTTAAATTAAATGAGCCATATATATGTATATATATATAATTAAATATTTAATTCTGAATAAGTAAATTTCAGATTCAACTCAAGAATTTTCGTGTTATTTGCTCTTTTGACATCCACCTTATACACATTACTCCCACTAACATCAAAAGAAATAAATTCCTTACCATATGAATGTTGGATTCCTTTTAACGTTTCTACAGGAGCAAAATTTTGGGGAGTTTATTTGTACGAATGTATTTCCATTTATTTAGCAACTCTTTTATTCGCTTCAATGGAAACACTTCCATCAATAATGATGCAACAAATATGTATCCAATTGGAAATTCTAATATATCGTATTCTTGAAATTCCAAAATTAAGAAATAAATATATTCATTCAAAATTAAATGTTTATCAAGAGGAGTATAGGCTTTTGAAAGAATGCATAAATCATCATGATTTTATTTTTTTGTAAGTTCCATGTACGTATATTTATTTTGTTTGATATTTTTTTTAGATATATAATAATATAAATTTTAATCAATGTGATTTCACTGATGAAAAAATAATTGGAAATTAGCAACTGAATCACTTCATGATAAATTAAATATAAAATTTCTTATAAATTTGATAAATTAGGTAAAATTTTAATTTACAGAATGGAGCATCAATTAAATAAAATTTTTGGTTTATTAATTTGTGTTCAATTTTTTGTATCAACAATAAATTTATGTATTTCTGGTTTTTATATAACATCAGTTAATTTTAATAATGCATATTTTTGGGTAGCGTTAGTAAATTTAAGTACATTTATCTTTCAAATCTTCCTTCAATGTTTCTTCGGAGAATTAATGACTCGAAAGGTTTGACTCTTTTTTTTAAATAATATTTTTTTTAATTCTATAATAATTGTAATGTAATTTAAATAGAATGTTTTTTTAAGTCATTATTTTTAAATACAAATATTTTGATTAATATTTGTTAATTTAGGAAATTTTAACTTTTCTTTTTATATTACAGAGTTTGTCTATAGCAGACGAAATATACAAAATGGATTGGAGTTTATTAAATATACGAAGTAAACAAAAACTAATAATAATTATGATGCGTTCTAATCGACCAATGCAGCTCAATGGATTTTCATTACTTACTATGTCAATTGAAACATTTTGTAAAGTACTTAGGCATCGTTTTACTTTTCTTTAAGAAAAATCAGAAATGAAATATAATAATAATAATCGTATTTTTCATATTTTAAAAAATTGAGCATGATAGATATTTTCTTCTTTTATTTCAATAATGTTAAACAAATGTTTTATGATAAATAATTTTACAACATTTTTTTTAGATTCTAAAAACATCTTATTCATGTTTTAATTTAATAAGAAATATAAACTGAATATATTCTTATATAAGAGAAAATAAAGACATATTGTTAATAATAATTGGCCTGAGACTACTGACATATTTAGAGAATGTAAAAACCATCATTCACTTTGGACATCAAGTTCATGAGATGTATAACATGAAAATAAAAGCAAATTGGTGATTTTATCAAATTCTATTCTATATATTATAACGTGTTTTTGAGTTTTTATTTTAAATTTAAATTATTTTTATTTATAACATTGATTTTTAAGTATAACATTAATGAATTTTATTTTAATTAATTTGTTATTATATTTGCAATTACAACTACATTATCTACACTTTTTAATTATTAATTTTCCAAGACGCCAAGCTATTTTATGAAAAATAACTAAACCTGAAAAAATAGTTAAATAACTAATATAATAGCTCAGGAATTCTATTGTTACTTTACAGCAACAATAGACCGCGGAGAGGGGGAGGATTAGGATAAACACCATTAATTAAACAAAATTTATAACAATAATATTATTTATGAATAATCACTTCAAATTTATTAAATTTATGAAAATGGCAGTAGAACGACTAACAAGATTCAAAATTTATTTATTTTATAAATATTTAATTTTTATTTTTCATGAGATCGACTCGGAAGGAAACGACTCATAATAAATTTATTTTGGGACTCACCGTCCGAAATTAAGGTCCGCCCAGTTAGCACCTACTTACTTTTTAATTATGTCACAAAACAAAAAGAGAATTACTTGCACTCTACGAACACCAAGATGTGAATGAGAGAAAATGGCTGACGAGTCAAACTCGAAAACGTCGCTAAACAGCGGCCTCTCTTCTCGGTGTCATTGAGATCAATTAATATTCAATAATATAATACCCGCGACCGATAATCGATACGCAATAGTCGGTAACTCAGATTTCTACCCTATCCGATGTTAAATTGATTGATGGGAAAAACTCATATGAAATTGATTGTCAATAATATTTTAACAGATCGTCAACAAAACAGCAAATTCGTCTTCCTGGTGTTCTTGAATATTCGGGACTCTCATCCAAATATATACACCAGGAAGCTCTTCCCTTGTTGACTTCTAATTTGAATGATAGATATAGTGATGTCCTCAACGTCTTTGTGACTCAGCGACAATCCTTAATGTCTTGCGAGAGTTTTCTTAATAGAACGAAAGGACAAATAAGGATTGAATTTATGCCTCCACAGCACCGAAACTTTCCTAAAGATTTATTTAAAATGTTCGGAATATTTAATTGCAATGTTTAGTGAAAATTGTGTAAAGATTTAAATGTCCCACTTGAATTAATGTTCAGGAAAGTTTCACACTAAACATTTATTTAATCGGAACATTTAAATCTTTACACAATTTTCACTAAACTTTGCAATTAAATATTCCAAACATTTCAAATAAATCTTTAAGAAAGTTTCGGTGCTGTGGGGACTTATTATAGGTCGACTATTAATCTGACGACTTTCGCAAGTTGGTTTGTTAATATGTATTTAAAAAAATGTTTTAATCCTGTAAAACACATTTTTAATATTAATATTTCGAGCCTTAACACTGCCCAAGAAGCACGTAATATAACCTCAATGTCAAGGTAATATTACATGTAAGATTCGTAATATAACGTTGTAATATTACAGTAATCTTACAGTGATCCTTAAATGTCCGCCTCAAGGTAATATTACCGGTAATGTTACTGTAATATTACGCGCTAATATTAAGGTAATATTACAGTAATATTGCAGTAATATTATACCGTAATATTAAGGTAATATTACAAGAGAATATTACAGTAATATTATGGGAACATTTCTTTACGAAAAAAATCTACCCATCCAGGGAATCGAACCCCGAACTCAAAGCACACGAGTCCAGAGTTTTACCAACAAGCCAAATTGACTTATAATATATTTACGTTTTTTATGCTTTATGAATAACTCAAATCAGTCTGTAATATTACTGTAATATTACCGTTAATATTACAGTAATATTCCCGGTAATATTACAGTAATATTCCCGGTAATATTACCTTGAGGCGGACATTTTAAGATCACTGTAAGATTACTGTAATATTACAGCGTTATATTATGAATTTCACGTGTAATATTACCTTGATATTGAGGATATATTACGTGCTTCTTGGGTGGAGCTTAAGCTCATGTGATTGTCGTGTTTCACATGTAAATATTCTCCTAAAATACTTAATTGATTGAGCTAAAATTTTGCGGAGAACTAAAAAATATTATGAAGTATCGTTGTTATGTGACAGAGTATTAATATTTTGTCAAAAATAGTATATTACGATACTAGGCCAGAAAGTTTAATTTCCTGGCGGGTGTGAAATATAAGGCCGAGGCGAAGCCGAGGCCTTATATTACGCCCGTCAGGGCATCAAAATTTCTGGCCGTGTGTCGTATACTATTTTTCTTATCTCCACCCGAAAGCACGGTCAGTAATTACTTTTAATTAACAAAATTGCGTATTGTAAACTGTTGCCCGACTTTTGCAAAGCCGAGGCGAAGCCGAGGCTTTTGCTGGTCGGGGCGGGCATGAAATGTCTATTATGTCAAATGTAAAAAAAATCCAAAAAATAAGGAAAAATAAAAAGAATAGTAAAATTCAGGTATTATTTGAAATTTGGTCACACATATGAAACTTTTCAAAAATATTTATTTACATTGTACATAACTGTAACATAATGCAAAAATAATACGTTATTAGGAATAATCTAGAATAAATTTTAAACGTGTGTTCTTTCTGTTTTTCTTATTTCAAGAGATTTCATGACGTATTGTCATTATTGCAATTGCAAGAAGTCACGTTAAATGTACAATTGTTGAAAGTACAATTGTCAAATTTTAAATCATGTTTTTTTAGTGTTGTACTTATGTCATTACGATTCCCGTTGTTTAAATCTTCAAAACTTTCCGTGTTTCTTAGTGTTTGTACAACCGATTGCTCTTTAAAAGCTAATTTTATGCCTGGTTTACTAAGAAACAATTTACTATTGGCAGCAATTGGTTTGTTTCGATTTTCAACTGGTAAAATTATTTGATTTTTCCTGGCTGTTGTAAACCCACTTATTACAGGTCCAACTGCAAAAATTTAGTTATGAATAAATAATTGCATATAAGTTTATTTTTCTAATAAGAAATATGCTATCTGTGCTTACTTGAAAATGGGTTGATGTTATGAGATTTTTCATTCTGGTGATCGCTGACAGCTTGGGCACTTGTCGATGGTTTTAATCGTTTCATTGCGTTAATGGCATCTTCGTTGCTTTCTCTTTTTCTTGTTGCAAATGGCTCAACAATTGTCTGATTTCGAGAATTCTCACGAATTATTTTCACGGTTTTATTTCCAGTTGTAACTGGCACAATCATTTGAGCTTTGCTCGCTGTGGTAGCATCAGTGCTTACAACTCCTTCTAAAAAAAGATTATTAATGAGGGGTGGTATATTTCCGTAATGAATTTTAAGAATTATTTTCGTATATAATTAATTAACAATCAATTAATTTTCGTAATAAAATAAGTATTTGCTGACTTACTTGGATTTGGTTCAAAGACAAAATCTTCAGAAAAATCTGCCCAATTTAAATTGCAATCAGATTCTCGAATTTCGGTGGTTTTTTGCGCGCTACTCAGTGGTTTTGAAGAAGCATTGGCTGTTGTATCATTTTGAACAAGACCATCAAAAATTAGCTGCCTGTTGTGCATAGAGTTTTCTATGTAACCTTGAGCAATTAAATCCGACCGCCATCTCCCCAGTTGTTTTATCATCTGCATATTCGCTCCAGAGTCAGAAAGAAGAGTCGCTGACGATCGTCTAAAGCAGTGGCCTGTGTATTTTTCGGCATTTGGTAGTTGCAAATAGACAGCAATTTTTTGTGGAACTTCACCAATTTTGTGTCTTCCGACAGCTTGGCGGCTACATTTACCCTCTTTGTACCTGATAAAAAATCTGTCGCAAAATTGATCAGCTGGTCTCAATTCAATATAATTCTTCACTTTGCCGTAGAAAAGATTCCCGATTATAAATTGTCCCGCGTACTCATTCTTGTTGAAATTGACTGACACCAAGTATTTATTTCCCAAATCTTCCACGTCTTCGACTTTCATGTTGGTTATTTCGTCACAACGCAGGCAACCACAAATTCCGAAAATCAGTATAACCTTTAGAAATTAAAACAAATTATTATTACTTAATTAATTATTAATAATTATTATTTAAAAAGTGAATAAATCAACAATATTTAATATTACCTTCATGGCTAAATAAATTAAATCCGGAGCTTCATTCATGAATTTCATGATTTGATTCCATCTTAAAACAAGCGATTTTTTTGGCTTGTAACCTTTGGCATTTGTTTTTATCATACTTTTCAAGTTCAAAAAATTGCTAATATTAATATTATCCTTCACATTCAATGTCTTTCGTAACATGCTCCAGATACTCCACAATGTTGGTGGTTTCAATTTTGTCTTTAATTGCTTAAAATAAACAATTAAATTGTTCTCCTCTGAATTGGACAAGAAATTTTTGTTCTCCTCTCTCCATTTTTGATACGTGTTATAGACCAACAAGTATCGATCGCAGGATTTTTTTGGCAACGTTCCACTTTCAACGATGATTTTGGCCTCTTGGTCGAAGTTTCGAAGAATTTCTTCCTCGTCTGAAGAACCTTCCGATGAGGAGTTTTCCATTTTGCAGGTTTTGCACGACTTTTAAGCACTATCATATAAATTCGCACGAGATCGTTTTGTTTCTTAACAGAACATGCTTGAGATTTGAGGTATGTCACCGCGTATGTCACAACACAGGCCCTGAAATACGCGTTGCTATGTAGTTGCTATGGTGGCGAGCCGCGAAAATCTCGTAGCCAATCAAAGCGCGCGTTGGTTCGAGCCGGCCACAAAAGTCGCTCTTCCCGGCAGAAAATCGCGCAAGAAAGTCCGTACTTTCGGGTAGGGGATACAGAAAAATTATTTTTATATTTTTAACAAAATATTAATATACTCTGGTACATGACAACGCGAATCGTTATACTATTTTTGAATTCTCCACAAAATTTAAGTTCAATATATCAAGTATTTTGCGAGAAAACCTACACGGAGAAAAAAGATTTCTTTTATAAAGTAACTTTTACTACTTTCAGAGTAAAACTGGACCAACTCGAAGTTTCTGCGCATCTCTGGCAATTTTTACTCCAAAAATAGTAAAATTTACTCTAGAAATAGTAAAACTTACTACGGAAACAGTAAAATTTACTACAGAAATAATAAATTTTACTATTTTTGGAGTAAAAATTGCCAGAGATGCGCAGAAACTTCGAGTTGGTCCAGTTTTACTCTGAAAGTAGTAAAAATTACTTTTTCTTTTTCTCCGTGTATATATGAAAAAGTTTTACATTTCAAATAAATCGGTTATTTAACATTGTAATTTATTCAAATTATACAATGGTTTGATATAAGTAAACATATATTTATTTAATAACGCTCAAGTAATGATAAAAAAAATAATAAAAAAATTTTTGACATATCGAACATAAAATCATTGTCAGTGTATATTTAACAAAAATTCAAACTATTTGGTTTAAAGTTTGATAGAATACAGAAAATAAAAATTGTTGAACAAAGAAACACCGAATATATATATATTATACCAACGCAATGAGAATTTTCATTGTTGTCGGCATGCAAAAAGACAACTTCCTACTTGGTATATAGCAAATTCTTAAGTTGCGTACATTGAACTCCCACATAACGTTGAATAGTTCGAAAGAACATTGTAGATTGGAGTGGAAGTGACAAACATATTCAGCTTGTTTTCATATACTATATAGATAACCGCTTAGTCTGAACAGAAAAGTATGTCATGACCTAAAAGATGATTCCGTTAACCAGGCTTGGTCTTGAACTTTTCTTCCTCAGTCTTGACTGTGAAGTCAAGTTAAGATGATACCGTTCCTCGTATACCTCTGCTTTTTAATCGGTGCTCGTGAAACAACATTGCCGGTGAACAATGGAGCCTTAAATAGTCTCACATCTGTCTTGGGTTTGACACTTCTACCCATTGGATATGCTGCAGGTCCAAGGTATATAGAACCTTTCTGCAGGCAATCAGTCATCTTTGTATTTTTTCGACTAAACACCCCTCAAAATTGTCATACTTAAAATCCAGTATGAGATTTAATTGGAAGATTAACTGGTGTAAAATTAGATGTGTTCAACTTTACCGCACTAATGCATCCAACGATTTCTTGAAAAATATTATAAATTTTTTAAGCATTTTTTGTGTCTTTGTTATTTTTGTATTCGATAATAATTTTTGCATTAATTGACATTTTGTTGATACTTTTACGCTGCAAAAAGAAGTATCTTAAAATACCGTGTAATCATTTTTAAAACAAATCTTCTGTAATCATCTTAAATATTAATTTATAACTTTTTGGAAACATTTTAAAAATGACTTCCAATGTGTCTTATAATAAAATGCCTACTTTTTGCAGTGTAGTGATTTTTGCAACTGTGTGTTGTGTTGGTACCATTTGTGTTTTTGGTATTTTTGCATGTTTAATGTTTATTGTATCAATGGTGATTTCGGTACTTTTTTAATATTATCTTAGTAATTTTTCTTCTTTTCAAAATTTTTGGTATGTTATTTTTAATACGTTTGTTACCAAATACTTTTAATGAACAAGTATTAACAACTCGAAAAGCACCAAAAAAAAATTATCAAGTATCACCAAAAACAGAATAGCACTGAAAAAAAAATTGTATTTAAAATTGCTAGGTGCATCTAGTTAAAAAATTTCTAGTTATTTTAAGAAGAAAAAATAGTTAATAAGATTAGTTAGTTCTAGTTAATTACTGATAAAATCAACTAGAATACATTTTGTAAATAAATAACCAAAAAATTCTGGTTTGTTTAACATAAGAATTTCTGATTAAATTAACCAGAAATGTAATCAGAATTTTTTAACCAAATTTTCTAATATTTCTAACAAGAAAAAATAGTTTCAAAGAAAAGTAAATTCTGTAAGTACCAAAAAACCACTTTTGTCTGTGAGAAAAAACTTGTCGATAAACATAAAAAATTAGTTGAATGACAATAATGTAAAGAAATATTATTAAAAAAATTAAAAGAAATATTTTTTATAGATACGTGCCAAAATGGAAGAAGCAAGCATGTGAATTACCAGCAACACAACTTCCAAATTCAAATTATGATTGCGATGAAGCCGGGGAAGTCAAGTGTCTACCGGGTAAGTTAAGGTGAATTGGACCTTTAATTTTGAAAAAAAAATAATTGATCGTGAATCCCTCCACACAACTTAATTCGATCAATTTGTCAATATCAGGATGGACCGGGGATCTTTGTGACGTTCCATTATGTCGAAAGGGGTGCGACCCTATTCAAGGATACTGTCGTCGGCCTGGCGAATGCCGCTGTAAATTGGGATTTTATGGTGATACTTGTGGCAAATGTGTCGCTCTTCCTGGCTGTCAACATGGCAGGTAGACTTCGTTTATCTTGATCATTTTTTTTCCTCTCGAATTTAAAATTCTGAATATTGAGACGTTATTAAAAGCAATTTCTATTCATTAAATCTCCACTTTTTTTTCAACTCGAGATATGTAATTTTTTATTCATTGTAAAAAGAACATATTGGAATTTCTTTTAATTATGGATCTTCGTTGATTAAATTCATGTTTGTCGTTATACAACCATAAAGAAGTCTTTTTTTCGCTTTCTTTAAATATTTTAATACTAAACGGCTTTAAAATTAAAAATTAAGTAATTTTGATGATATTGTTTCGATTATAAATTATATGATTACACAGAAAAAAACCGAACTCAGAATGAGCCGTGTAGGCGGCTCATTTTGATGTGCAACAAAAATGAACCAGGTTGGTGGCGCCACTGTCTATGTCGTTTAGCATTGGCTCATTTTGATTTGCAACAAGAATGAGACTAGGTTTTTTCTGTGTACTAAAGTATTTCTGCTAAATTAAGAGAAATTATATTATATAATATATTATGTAATAATTAATTAAGAAATAGAAAAATTCAAAGATAGTCCATATTTAGCTAAATATTTTGGCAGTAGTACAAAATTTTTATCTTTAAATTTTTTTTTAAGTATGGACTATTTTCCCAAATAGCACGTAAGCTTGCAGCAACTTTGCGGCACAATAAGATTATTGCAAGATTGCTCAGTAAGCTTGGACGGTAAGCTTGTAGCAAGGTTGATGCAAGGTTGCTAAATAACCTTGCTTTGAACCTAAATTTTTTTTTTTTAAACGTCTCGTCCAATTTATAAATTAGATTTTATTAATTCATTTTCAATATAGAAATAAAAAGACGAAACGTTTAAAAAAAAAAAATTTTTTTAGGTTTAAAGCAAGGTTATTTTGCAAAATTGCAACAACTTTGCCACAAACTTTCCGTGCAAACTTACTGAGCAATCTTGCTATAATTTGTTTGTGCAATCTTGCAGAAACCTTAATCTGCAATCTTTCGGTAAGCTTACCATGCAAGCTTGGGTCAGATGGGACATTTGAAGCTTGCGGCTAGTTTGCCGTGCAAGGTTGAAAATATTGCGCGGCAAACTTGCCGCAAAGTTGCTACAAGCTTACGTGCTATCTGCGTTTAAATTTCCATATTTCTTGAGAATTGACAATTGCTTCTCTACTATGGATAAAATTTATTCATAAAATCAGTTTTTTAACCAAATTACTGATGTTTATTTGAATTTTTGTCAATGGTTTAAAATTTTTAAAATTCAAAGATTAAAATTTTGTCCATGATTGTCACTATTTTTGCATTTGTCTAAAAATAGGAAAAATTTTAGGATTTAAAATTTATCCACTATTGGTTATATTTTTGCCATGGTCCAAAAATTTAGATATTTTATAGATTAAAACTTTACTAATTCAGTTGGTAAAAAATTGCATTTCAAAAAAAAGAAACGGACATTTTTTAAATTTTAACTCGAGGGTAATATTTTATTCATAAATATTCTGTATCTATTGTATATATACACGCGATTACATTGGAATACAAATTTAATACAATTTCGGCTTCAAAAAAATTTCTCCAAATGACGTGTGGCAAATTTCTAGTACTATTTTCGTTTGTAACGGTTCATACCGTAATTGTAATATATATACTATATTAACAAAATACATTATTCTCAACGGTATATTTATATACATATAAGTTGCTTTCACCAAGATCATCGTGCAGATTCGAGTGCTTTTAGTTCGATTCAAATCTGGCCATGAAATTTGCTCCCGCACTATATATATATATTTATTGTGTTGGTATATTAATGATCTGACTGAAAACGTTATTCCCTAATTGCGGATTTAATGCTTACTGTAGATAAATTCTTGTTTTCAGATGTAATGTGAGCTTCGAGTGCGTTTGCGATCCTGGATGGAAGGGATTATTTTGTAACGAACCTGCCTGCGCTTCTTATTGTAATCCTAGCCAAGGATATTGTGACAGACCCGGCGAGTGCAAGTGAGATTTTAACAATAATTTTATTATACTGTATTCTTTAAGTTTTGTACATATAGTATTGCAAAAATTACGAATCCGTTAAAAAATTCTTTTAACTTTTTTTCATTTTTAATAATATCAAAAATTAGCATTCAAGGCGTCAATATTTTTTCGGACAACAGGGATGCAATTATGTAATTTCATTTTGCCTTCCACATCGAATTATTTCAGACTTCTTTCTGATTAACATTTTTGTGCGAACTAACTGCTGATTTTGTATATATGCTATTGAATCAACAGCATTTCTGTCAAAGGCATAAAATTTATTGATTCACAAATATATGCTACAGAATTTGTAAAATATATATAGATTCTAGCATATGCTTTTGAATCAATAATTTTTTATACCTTTGTCAGAAATTCTGTTGACTCATTAGCATATTTTTCTCAGTGTATATACTGATTTCAAATTTTTCCATACCCATTTCGAATTAGGATCAGTCTAAAATTATAACCGGGGTAGAAAAATGAAAATAATAATAATTTTATAAAATAGAAAAATAAAACGGTATTAAAATATAAATCTAAGAATTTAAATAAATGATGGACTTTGAAAATATTGAAAACATTTCATAAGGATTCCTATTTCAATATTTTACAAAAAAAAATTTTAACCGTTATTTAAAAGAGTTTTATTTTCTTTTTTCCCGAAAAATTCGAACGAAACAGATGCAGACTTGGCTGGCAGGGACCAGAATGTAAACAGTGTGCCGTTTTACCGGGATGTGTTCATGGAAGTTGTAAAGGACCTCTCGAATGTCGATGTGATCCAGGATGGACAGGATTCTTGTGTCAAACTCGTAAGGGTCCTTTAGTTCATTCATAACTACTAAGTCATGTGTTTTAAGCACGTAACAGATAAAAATCATATATATTCAGAAAATGTGATACATCATTTTCTGCACTTCAAAAACCCCATATATCTATATAAGATAAATATTGCGTAAGCTTTTCCCACATCTGTCACATGAGCCCGATTAGCTCCTTATTGTTATTACATCTTTTCTGTAATTTCTAAAGAAAAAAATGGGACAAAATTAAATATTAATTTTCTTCTAATTTAATTTAAATTTGTTTTTGCAATTAAGTCCTCTTTTATGCGACTAAGGATTAGTTTCACCCACTCCGGTTAAAAGTTAATCAGCGATTAAATCCCTAACCGACCAATCATGAGCAGTTAAATTGGCTTTAATCGCCGATTAACTTTTAACCGGAGTTGGTGAAACTGACCCTAAAAGATCACCTTTAATTTAGAAAATAAAGAAACTAAATTTTCATTTGTATTTTCTGAAAGCTGATAAAACTATTCTGCCGTCCTGATTTAAAAATACACTATCTACACGGAGAAAAATGAATTGTTGTGGTTACTAAAAATTAAGTCTACACAACAATTCCGGATTGTCAATATAGAACCAGCAGTCCTATTTGTTTTTAGGACAAAAAAAAATTGTTAAAATAAAAATTGTTATTAAAACTATGCGGATTGTTTGGTGAACAAACAGAATTGTTTAATGAACAAAGAAAATTGTTATGGAACAGTTGATATAACAAAACTAAATTATTAAATCGTCAATACAATTCGTTGCATTAACAAAGCTTTGATCCGTCTAATACAATTTGTTCAGTTTCTTCGCCTTCTAAAATAATCGATAGCAGATTTCCGTAGGTCATATCACCAGTTTCATTTGTATTAAAATCTGTGGAACATGCAGCTTCTGAATCAAATTCTTTGACCTGAAACCAAAAAATTATTTTGAGTTGAAATTTTTTGTTAAATAATATTTAATATACATTTTGTATTTTTTAAGGTGAAGTTATGTTCAATAGTAACCGAGTCTAACTTACCGATAAACGATGAAATTATCTCTTCATCCATTCACTACACTTGAATTAGATTTCTCACTTTAACCGGATTCATTATTTAACAGCACTTTGTCATTAAAAAAAACTAATAATAAAAGCAAAAGTGACCCATGTGCCAGAAGCAAACGACACGACGATCTGCACGCCAGTTTGCGAGAATTCAAGATGACCATGTGACATGGAACAATAAATCTGTCAGCTGAACAAATCCGGATTGTTCCATCAGCAATCGACAGAAAGTTTGCTTCTGCAACTGTACGGAATTGCAAACTGAACAAAACTGACAACTAAAAATTCGTATTGTTGTTAAAACAACATAAATTTTGTATTGTCAACAATCTGAATTATAATATTAACATTTCGAATGGTAATATCAACAAATCTACTGATAACAATCCAAAAATTGTTTGGACCACAATTCCATTTTTCTCCGTGTACATTTGTCGCTTCGGCTCACTTTTGTGTGTTAACACTACTGAATAACAACCTACACGGAAAAAAATTTTCTGTAGAATTTACAGAAACTCCTGCGCCATCTACTGATGTTTCTCCAAATAGAGAAATATGTAGAATCATTGGCATTAAAATCTGTTAATTCTACAAGTTTGAGCTACAGTTCTTAAAAACTGTTGAGTGACCAAATTATGTATACTATATGGGGATAATATATATATTTGGTAGAGTATTTCTTATAGGTTAATATTCTCCTCCGAATACATTAAATTCGCGGAACATTATTGTATAAATTAGTATAACTTCTATGTAAATAAATTCATCCTTCAATAATTTTCTAACAAAAAAAATGAGGAGCAAGTTTTCAAAACTTATGATAAATCCACTTTTTCTTATGTCGAGAAATTGAAACAAACGACTTTTCTCACTTAATCACTACAGTTAATTTTAAAATAAAAAATTTGTAATAATTTATTTCTATAATAATGTTTATATACTTAAGACGTTTCCTTTTTAATTAAACTTTCTTGCCGACACTATGATAATAATAAAAACACTAAATTCGCCTTAACCTCTCGCACTCAATCGTACTCAGCCTTAGTCGAATCACTGCATTGTTTTCGCGCATGCGTTAAATCCTTACAGAAAATATCTGTAGAATTAACAGATTTAGGAACATGTAAAATCTCTAAATGGATGTTAAAGAATTACCAGAAAATTTTTTTCCATGTAAGCGACAAATGTAAATTGTGTCTTTTTAAATCAGGACGGCAGTATTCTACTCTATAATTTTAAATTAGTAAAAATTTTAACTCATTTTAGTTGGTAATTAGTTCAGTTTTACTAATTAGTTAAAAATTTTACTAATTCAAATTTAGAAAGTATATTTCAACTGTAAGAATCATTTATTACAAATGAAGAATGAATTCTAATTAATAATAATTAACAAAATTAAACTTACAAATATTTATAAATACCATTTTACTAAAGAAAAAAAAATTTACTCAATCGCAGATCAAGCATAAAATTACCTCTAAACGAAAAAAAAACTTTTTAACTATGTATTAAATGTTTATCGGTCCATTTACCAATCTTTTTATTATTATATACCATTTAACTGCAAACATTCCATATTTAAATAACGTGCTTTAAGTATTCATCACAATTTCTAAAGATGTTAATGAGAATTTTACAATCCTTCAATCGATAGAGAAGCAATAAACGTTTTAAGAAAGATAAAAGCAATTTTTATCGTACGATATTTTATGATTTAATTAAAGCGGAACTATAAGCCGCAATATATATGTATAGCTTTCGAAAGGCTGTACAATATTTAAAGAAGAAGAAAAAATCCATTATGGATATATAATAGTGATGCCATAAAATTGTAAATATTTAACTTTTTTTCTTCTTGCAGCGGTATGCGCTCAAGGTTGTAGTCGAGAACACGGCAGTTGTCGGAGGCCAGGAACTTGTAGGTGTCGAATGGGTTGGACAGGTCCAAATTGCACAGAGTGCTTTCCTTATCCTGGCTGTGTTCATGGTACCTGCAAAAGGCCATGGGAATGCAGATGTCAGCCAGGCTGGACCGGAGACCTTTGCGAAGAAAAACTCACCTACTGCGACCAGCATGATGACCTATGCAAAAACAATGGCACCTGCATCAGCATGACGAAAGAAGATGGCAATTACAGGTCAGACTAATTTTAATCTTCTCTATAAACAATGTATAATCCCTTTAACATTTTTGTCAAAAATTCTATTTAACAATTTTCTTTTTATTTATTTGATTCAGTCATGCACACACGGAAAAAATGAATTATTGTACTTACTAAAGTTGGAACTAACAAATTTTTTATTGTTTCTCACAACAAATCTGTATTGTTGTACTAACAATTATCTTTTTAATATTAACAATATATTCGTTGGTATAACAATAAAAATTTGTTGTAAGAAACAATAAAATTTTATTGTAATCAAAAATTTGTTGTAGTAACAAATATATTGTTAGTACAACAATACAGATTTGTTAAAGCGACCAAATAAAATTTCTTAGTTCCAGGTTTAGTAAGTACAATTCATTTTTCTCCGTGATATTTTGTAGTAGGTCCATTTTGAAAAAAATCCGCGACTAATGAAAAGATTCGACATTTTCCTTCACGGTACACTGTAAAAAATTTAAAGAGTTAATGACAACCAAAGTTGGGAGTAAAATTTTTGGAATTAAAAATCAATACCAAAAGTGAGGTAACATTAGATTAACTTTTCCTTATCATTAACTTTCCATAGGCATAAAATTAATTCCCTTTAGCTACTTTAAATCCAAAAGGGTGCGACTTTTGTAGAATTCCATTGAGATTTTTTACAATGAAAGAGTGTTGTCTAATAAAACATAGTCTAGAAAATTATTTGCCAGATGTTAAAATTACAAAATTTATTTGAACAAAAAAAACCGCTCAACATTTATATATGTAAAACAGATGAGACAATGCTGTTAATGGAAAATAAATTCAGTCAATTTTTTTTGTAAATAAAAATGTTTTAAATAAATAACAAAAATATTAAGGCAAATTTTATTTTTCTGATTAGATGCATTTGTCCATTTGGTTTCTCTGGACGTCAGTGTCAATTTGAAATGCAAATGCCGGATATGGAATTGAAACCACCAAAGCCAGACACACTTCCTGAGGTGGGAATTTTAGTCGATGATGAAGAATTGGGAGGTAAACCGCAAGCGGAAATTAATCCGGATAAAGAAAAAGACGAAACTTTAGATAATAATGAGCCCAGTGTTGTGCTCATAAAACCAATTGTTATCACGACCGCTCCGGAAATTGATCCTGCGGCTACAGCAGGCAAGTGGCCAACAGAACGACCTACAGAATCGCCGTCTAGCGAAAGAGATGCTGAAAATGAAACTTAAATTTTCTACTAAAAAAAGAAAAATACCTATGTATACAAGTCAATTATCATTTTATACATTCCTCAAAGATTATGACTTTTTTTAAAATTATTGTTATGATAATATATCCTTGACAGGATAATTAATTTCAAAACATTTTAGATCTTTTATTAATAATAGTAATTCTATAATTTTCTTAACAATTTTTTATGGAAATTAATTAATTTGGGTCTAAGAAAGAAAAAAATGCCCTTTTGTACTAAAAGTAAGAATTGTAAAAAAGATTGGAATTTATTACAACAGTCGTAACACAATTCTTATGACAATATCAATGTTAAGAACTAGATAGCATTATTATTATTTTGTTTCTCCACAAGATTCTTTAAAGTTTCCAAAATATTGTACATTTAATATTTATTTAAAAATTGTTAATTATTCAATTAATTTCATATTATAATAATTTATTATTTATTTAATCGTACACGAAAAAACAAAAATTTATCTATAACAGCTGAAACATTCACTGAAATATCTATATTTATAACTTTTGATGCTTTGAAAAAATAATTACAAGGTTGCAGTAAATGTTTCAGCAATATCTATGTACATATTTTTTAACGTGTTTTATTTTGTGTATTAATTTAGAAAAAAAACTTCGACTCATCACATGCAAAATACAATCAATTATTTATAACAGTATTTGTAATAATATTTATAATTATATTTATAATTATAATATATCCTATCATCATATTTATAATCTTATCGACAATATATTTATAATCATATCCATAATGATATTTATAATAATGTATTTTTAACAATATTTTTGTAAAATAATTCATGATAATATTTATTATCTTCAACAATGACAAAAGAATCTTTTATATATGGATTTCTATTTTGACAACCAAATAAAATGAATTGTTTATTTTAACTTTTTTCTCCAAGATTTTATTATTTAAATAAAATTGATACCCACATTTTATATCATGTAATTGACTTATTAATTTTAATAAATAATTAATGCATCTTCTTAAATTGAAAAACATTAAAGTTATAAAGTCTGCAATAAAAATTATAACTTTCTCAAATAAATCATCAAATTTTATTTCTATAAATTTTAATGAACACTCTATTGTTAACTATAAAACAAATTACATATCAACATTGTATAAATTAAGAAAATAATGTAACTGGGAAAAAAAGGTAAAAATTAAACTTAAATCAGCAATTAATTACAATAAGGGTCAATTTTTGTTACGAGGAAAGTGGAAAATCTGCATAACCCTTGGTATCCAAGACAGATACCTGGAGCCTGGTGCTCCGAGGTTATGTGGGGAAGACCGTTCTTGTTTTGGACGACCCACTAAAAAACCCACTCTTGCGAGAGTCTTTTTGGCACAAACAGCAACTGGGGCTGCTCTTGCAATCTGCAAACTTATGATCTGCTTTCTCGCACTTGAAGCACGCAGCCAATCTTTCTGCTTCCATACAGGCCGTAACCCAGGAATCGGTGACACCGGACGACCATGACTCTGTTTCTTATTTGTCAGCACATATAGTTAATCTTTATGCGCCCCAATTCCTCCAGTCTGACAGCCTCTTCTTTGTCGGTGACAACTAACAACTGCGAGCTTCATCCCTCGATTGTTGGGTACTAAGACCGTCACCATACTGCTTCTTGGCTTTCCGAGTTCTCGTACCAGCACTTCCTGGACTTATGCTTCATGGGTAGGAAAATCCAGGTCGCGCATCTCGAGTGTAACCTTTCGATCCACCGTCTCCATCTTACCCATGCTACCAACAGCCTTAATCACCTTGGCGATAAAAGCTACCTTGTCCGAATCACCTCTGACCCTGATGAAGAGGTCTCCCTTTTTAGTGGGCCTTGCCCCCCAAGACTCTCGTGTGCCTGGTGTCAGGATTTGGATTTGGACAACCACTGTTGATCCCCTCGAATCCTTCGTGTTATTGTACTGCTTCGACTACGGTGCCTCCGTCACCTTGGCATCCTTTCTCAATGGAGATGCTCCCTTCTTTTTTTTATTTTGGCTTTTGTCTCTTCCGGACTGCCGGTACTTCGTTTCTTCTTTTTTTTCGCCTCCATGACCGCGCGTCGAAGACGTTCCTCATGGATACGCTCTCTCTTGTTGGTCCAGTCTTCCCGGTTGCATGCTGCATAGCCTAAAGCGGAGTTCAATTTTACATCCTCTTTATCAGCTTCTGCGTGCTTCTGATTCACTATATTTACAAGGTCCTGAAGAACCTTTAATTCATCCTTGATCGTTCGATTAACGTTTTTCTGGATGTCGCAAGATTTCACCATCATGACGACCTCCTCTTCGATCCTCAGAAGAAACTCAGATTCTTCCTTCCTCAAACTGACGCATATTTCGCGTTCCTTGAAACGCTTGGAGCACTTCTTCTTCTACTTCCAAGTCTTTCCAAACGGACCTGGGCAACCTTAAGAAACTAAGTGCCTTCATGGTCAATCCTCCTTGTGGCATCCCACACAACACATGATATTACCTAAAATTTTCTGAAATATTTCATTGAAATTTTGAAATATTCCAATGCGAAGACCTTGAAATATTGCTGAAATTAGGGAAATGTCCGCCTATAGGAAATATTGCCTTGTAATTTTGCTAAAATATTTCTAAAAAAAATATTCTAGAAAGTTTCCAACATAAATGATGCGCACTGGTCGATCTCAGTTTCTATGGCCTGTACAGTTGCGCAGTATTTTTTAATTTTCTAGGATCCTAGGGTGTTGATCAGGCTAGAAAATAATAATTGATTTCATATTTCAAAAAGTTTCTAACTTTCTTTGAAATATTTCTTGAATATTGCAGAGTCTTTATGTGTAATATTGCATGAGTCTTAGAGTGTAATATTTCAGCAAAATTGCATGGCAATATTTCTTATAGGCGGACATTTCCCGGTTTTCATTAACGTTTCATGAACCTTGTATTGAAATATTCACGAAATGTTTAGGAAATATATTGTGCTGTGTGGGATAGAATGTTGCAGCACCCAAGGTGTCCAATACGGCAGCACTATTCTCACTGGATTTTGACGCTGGCAAGCCAACTTGCTCATCTCCAGCATCGGCAGCACTGGGGTATCCCTCCCCTGCACAGAAAATGTCCTTATTCAATCCTTTGCTTTCCATATATATATATTTCTCCCGACTTTACATCTTTGTTTTTGGAAGTCCTTTAGTGAAAAGCCCCGCCACCACGACAAAGTCTACCAAGAATTTACAAGACTTTTGGTAGCGGACAACCAACGGCAGGGACAATAAGGGTGAATTAACAAATACTAAATATGTCATTAATTTCAGTAACTAAAATTTTTAATTTATCTATTTTTATCACAAAATGATATTATATTAATATAACAAAATACGATATTAAAAAAAGTCAATGAATGAAAAAAAGAACGACAAAAATTTTTAAACATGGAAATCTTTTCAAATATTGTAATAAATGTTAAAGAATAATTTGCAATAAACAGATGCTCTTTGGACCTGGGTTTGAAAAATGACAAATAATAACAATTCAAATTACAGATAAATTCGAAAAATGAATATTTGCATAAAACGGAAAACATAACCTATATTACATATTTACATTAACGAAAAAAAGGCAATGAAATTTAACGTAAACAATCAATAGAAAGTAACGAAAAAAGAAGTTAAAACGATCAAAATAGAGAAAACGTTACACATTGTTCGTTAGGCTAGAAGTTTGGTAGCAACGCCATTTTAAGTCGCCTTGTAAGCAGGTTGATTACGATTCACTTACTTTTTACGCATATATAATTTTTTTTTATATAATTATAGTTAATTTTACATTTTGTAACAAGTGAAACAATTTCACCTTGCGGGACTTCAAAAAATAAAATTTTTTGCTAAAGTAATTTTAACGATCTTAAAAATCAGTATAATTCATTCAATAGGTACCTATAACAAAACTGTATTGACAAATATAAAATTGTTCGACTATTTCTATAAAAATTGAAAAAATTTTATGATTCAGAATGTTTTTGAAAAAACTTTTAAGAAATTCATTAAAACTAAATAAAAATACATAAATAAATAAAATCTTAAAAGAGAATAGCTTTTAGTGAAACTACATTAAAAAAGGAAGAGAGAGAGAAATGTAAGTTATCTGAAAACTCTATATACATAAAGGTTTACTTATCTTTTAAATCAATTGACGGGAATCAAAGGCTATTCAATGCAGAACAATTTCGTTATCTCCCATAGAAAAATTAGCATTGCAAGTAAACCAGATTTTTCGTGAGAAAAAAATCTCAGTTACGGAATTCTCGTTTATATATATATATATATATATATATATATATATATATATAAATGTTGTGATACAAATCATTTGTATTTTCACCATGAATTAAAGTTGTCTCACTTATCTTTTATCACTTAACGTTATTTTACTTTTATCATGCCTCAGACAATACACTCAATTGATAATTATCAATTGTTCTAGCAGCATTCTACTTTTTTCTATTTATAAAAATACAATCGCACTGTAATATTGCAAAAAAAATTCACCTGGTGATATAATCGATTACCTCATTGAATTAAAAAAATAATTTTATTTTTATTCAAGGTTTGTACAATTAAAGAATTTGCGAATAAAATAAAATACAATAAATTTAAAAAATTCTAAATTAAAATAAATAACGTTAGTTAATAACAATTAATATTTATTAAATATTATTTTTAATGAAATAAAAGTGAATGAAATGTAATTAATTATTTAAAATTAATTAATAAATGAAAAAATAAAATGAAAACCAATATTCTTCATTATAAGAACATGGAAGTAAATTCAATACCTTTGCCGTATAGGTATACTTTTCAATAAATTATTTCGCTGTCGTATAAGAACTTTCCAAAATTGATACCATGCATTCACAATCGTTATAATCGTCTTTCAAATTAATATATATCCATAAAGATTAATTTAATTCACGACAAACCATCAACTTTCTTCAACAAAAAGAAAAAAAAAACCTTTTTCACGATAGGTACACATTTTGTTTGTTATATATAAAAAAAACCTACGTTAAATTTGATCATGACCCAAATGTTTAAAAATAACGGTTTTCAGTATTAAAAAAGAAAATTAAGTAAAATTTAAAATAAACATGTTAATTTCAAATAATAAATTTTTTTCTATTTTTTAAAATCAAGACAAATAATTTTGCAGAAAAGCAAATAAGCTGTAAAATTGCAACATTTTAATCGTACTATTTTTTAACTCTAATTATAATATACTTAAAAATTCCACATTTATTATATATAATATATGTGATTTACATAAAAATGCAATATATATATATATATATATATATATATATATATATATATATATATATATATATCAATTTTGACATTTAATAAACACTTCAGAACTAGTCATCATTTAAAATTCTCAAACGGCCCTAAACTAGTTTTTTTCAAACCAAGAGAAAAAAAAAGATAAATTCGATACTAAGATATAGAATATTATGTTGCCTATTAGCACTTTATTTATAAGCATGTTCCAGAATGGCCAGCTATCTTTAGGGAATTCACGCTAGCTTGGACAATTTATGGCGTATAAAACATCACTTTTTTTATTTTCCCCTAAAAGATTTATATACGCGAT